AAACGGGCCGGCTTAAGTGATTGCTTCTCTTCATTAGAGCTCCGAGCTCGCTTCTCTCTATCTATCTATCTACCTCTCTCTCTCTCTCTTGTGCACCAAGTCGAAGTTGAGGGACAGGTGTGGTAATGGCCCGTATCCGAACTCTCGCTTCAGTTAACTCACCCCGCCAGTCGATTTGACCCTCCTCCACCCTCTCTCCACCTCTCGAAACTATTACGCGAATTGATTCCGCATCGGATCTGCCTGGAGGGGCGGAAACTTGCGTTTAGCTCCTCGTTTCTTCCACTTTCTCACTCTCTTCTTTTCTCACCCCGGACTCTCTCTCTCTCTCTTATCGCCGACGCGTGACCATCCTGGGTCCATTTGCGTGCATCTTACTCGTCGTAAAGACGCGGATTGTATTCTCGGATTATCCGTTTCCACGTTCGAACGACGTATGTACGACGTGGACGCTCCTGCACACTCCAGATTCGATTAGTCCGATGGGAACCGTGAAGTTCCTAGCGCAAATGGCGTGGATACTGTGTTTAGGATTAATCGATTCGCAGAAAATAAACACGTAACTGGAAATTATTGGAATCTGTTTCAGATCTCTTTACGACGAGTAATAACAATCATTGTGGAAGAACCCTTCAATATTCCCATTGCTACCCCACGTTAGGTGATGTACCTTTTCGTTTGCTTCCCAGTGCATTAAATATTAAGGAATTCACTAGTGTTATTATTTATAATATTCTCGAAACTTCTCAATTTAATGTAACAATTAAAACATTTTTATTCAAGCAGCCATGAAAATTGAAGGGTTCAAGAAATCGTCGTTCTGATCAAGAACAAAGTAATCGTCATGTTTCTTTCAATAATATATTGAAGACAAATCTTCCAAATTATATTTCTGATTCACATGCAGACTTATTCAAACATAAATTTATGTGTCGCGATATATTGCATTTATTTCCTAATCCAAGCCTTGGAGCTTTGGATGATTTCCAGTTTGTACATTTGCGATTTGAGTGAATAAGTGAATTAGTGTTATAATAAGCGTTAAATATGTCACACTCTATTGAACATGAACCTAATATCACGAATCTTAACACAAACGTAAATGTTAATGGACACGAATGAACGGTAAATGAGTCTGTACGTCTAACATGTCACCGTTTGCGAAGGCTCTTCTCGTTTACTTTAGTCGCGCATGCGAACCGCTCCGTAAACGCTCGTCCCAATGGTTGTCAATGCATTCAGCTTGTTGTATGCACGCGACAAATAGCAGTCCTGTCCGCGAACGTAATCGCGTATACGAAACGTTTACTCGCGAAATCGGGACACACATACATGCGAAATTAATATACATCGCTGACCTAGGTTTACCATGCGCACATATACATTGATTTTTCACATTTTTCTATTGTAATTCCGTTATAGATTCGCACATACATATATATACACATATAATTATCAATCACTCGGTCTTACAGGAACCCAAAGACTACTATAAGAATCCGACTTTCGGGAACTCGCGAAGGGAGATAACAGAAAAGAGTTCTTGTTTGATTTTCACATGTTCTATTGTAATTCCGTTAGAAATTCGCATACGCATATATATATATATATATATATAATTATTCATCAATCATTCGATCTTATAGGAACCTAAAGGTTGCTAAGAATCCAACTTTCGGGAACTCGCGAAGGGAAGATAACAGAAAAGTTCTCGATCAATTTTCACATTTTTCTTTTGTAATTCCAATATATAGATTTGCATATACATGTATGTATACATACATATTTAATTATTCATCAATCACTCGGTCTTATAGGAATCTAAAGGCTGCTAAGAATCCAACTTTCGGGAACTCGCGAAGGGAAGATAACAGAAAAGTTCTCGATCGATTTTCACATTTTTCTTTTGTAATTCCATTATATAGATTTGCATATGCATGTATGTATACATACATATTTAATTATTCATCAATCACTCGGTCTTATAGGAACCTAAAGCTGCTAAGAATCTGACTTTGGAGAACTCGCGAAGGACAGATAACAGAAAAGAGTTCTCGATCGATTTTGACACTATTAAAAAGAAAGGAGAAAATTCGCTTTACTTAGTAATAGACTCAGTAAAATTATAATCTTTTGGTTAATGACTCTTTACGATCTGTTTGATTGAGAGTAGCTCAGGATGTTAAAGGGATTTTCGAGAAAAGAGATCGACTGGCGGTGATCGGGTAATTCCTCTCGCGAGATAAACAGTATTCCAGGTCTACGATATCGCGATTTACGAGAGTTGCTCGACGTATACGCTGCTATACGCGCGTTGCATTAAATAATAATGCCAGTGATTGCTGCTAGCTGCCCGCCGAGACGAACTGCGAGCTGGTAAGGGCGAAACGCGGAGAAGACGCGGTGCCTCTACACCCCCGCCAGATATATCATCGCCTGGCAGTTATGTGTGTCATGAATTTTAGATTATCCTTGGATTAGATTAAGGCACGCGGAGGCCGGAAGGAGCGGCGACCGGAGCAAGCGGCCCCTTGGCCCGCCAGTCAGTGCGCGAGGCTGAATTATTTCCAAATCTCGCATCCCTTCTCCTTCCCGCCGAACGCGCTGCCGGAATTGCGAGATTGATCTGTTGCCGTGAATTTTTCGCCGATTATCCGACCTGGTTGTTAGGATGTTGAATTTTCACCTGATAATATTCCTAACAGCGCACATATCCCGAAGACATTCGAAGAACATCCTGAGGAAATTCGAATGTCCTCTGGATATCTTCTGAATATCTTTCGGATATGTTGTGCTATTAGGAATAATAATAAAACTTTAACGTCTAGAGCGAATATATATATATATATAATATACAAGATAAATATATATACAAAAATAAACATATATATATATATATATATATATATATATATATATAATTAAATGAATAATTAAAAGGTCTTTTCAAGACTCTCTAGCTTAAGCTTTTATAATTATATATATATATTTCTTTGGATATAATCGCGTATTTCTCTCACCCTTTGATATATGTATATATATAACGTTGTTACTAATTAATTAATATTTAATATCAATAATATTTTGATATAATAACATTGCCGATTCCGCTATACATTTTCGAGAAATCACGTCTGCCTCCCCTTGTGCATTCCCGATTATGTATTCCCCGCTTCATCCCTCTGAGAGGATGAGAGGGCGGAGATAATTGATGATGGTAGCTGGTTTTCGCGGGACATTATATCGCAGTTACGAGTTTCCACCCCCATCTCCCACTCGCGCGCTACGAATGCGCAATGTGCGGAACAACAGGATCTCGCAATAGTGGGGGGAGAATATCCCCGGGGGTGGTTTCCACCCCTTGCTGGCCCCACGTGACCCCGGCCAGACAAACGACGGCCAATTTACGAGCAATAGGAAAAACTTCTTAAAACTCGGATTAAAATGAGCAAAGGGGGATGAGAGAGAGAGAGAGAGAGGTGCTTGCTTCCCTCCAAATTATCCCGGGATACGAGAGGGTTTTATTTTATTCCTCAAATCGTCGCGGGGGCGAAAAGGGCGAATAGGACCCTTGGCCCTGGCCTTGCACGCCTTTATTATTATATCTTCCTGCTGCTCGTGAATGAGGTGGAGCTTCATTATTTTTACTGTTACGCAAATTTACTGTTAATTCTATCTTTATTTGTCCGAATCGCTAAGATCCATATAATTATCGATAATAATTCGATAACTCGAATAGACCCATCTTTATATTGCTTCGCAAAAGTTGCTTAAACGAAAAGATTAATTAAAATATTTAAGATTAAAGAAAAAAAAATATCTAAGAAATTATAAGAAAATATATAGATATATGAAAAAAAATATCTATATATTAAAAAAATAAAAATATCCATATAAGAAAATATCTAAGATTAATTGAAATATAAAAAGAAAAATTATCAATGCTATAAAAAATATTCGCTCTGATGAAAATATCTATGATATAATTAGAAAATTTCATTTAATCTTTATTTTGATTCTTAATGCAAATTTTCGATAATTTTTTACAAGGACTGGAAAAAGGAAAAAAAAAACATTTCTCTATTACTCTCTCGGGATGGAGTAACAGATTGACGAAATTTGGTGGAAATCGCTAAATTGATTATATGAGTGGCTGAATCGGAGCGTTTATCGATTAGGCGATTCGTCGTCGATGTGTTTTTGCATAAACAAATCACTTCGGTCAACTTATCTCTTTAGCGGTGAGGTAATTTACAAGTATATTTCTTTCCAAGATAGACTTGCCGAATGTCTCGCTTTAAAAGTATTAATTTTTAATGTACACTTGTATAAGAAATAATTTCCACTAATATTTTTTTACTTTAATTTAATTAATTTTACAATCCAATAATAAATTAGTAACTTTTATATATTTTAATAAAAACCTTACTGAAAACTTTAAAAAAATTGAATGTCGATTTATTCGAGACTGTAAGTCACCTGTACTTTCTGTAAGTAAGTTGCCGGATAGAGAGTCTGCGGCCGTAAAGCGATCGAATTATGGGCTCTCCTCTTTTATGCACGTCTGCCATAAAAAAGCTCGGGTCGTATGGATCGTATATATAACGTTAAAGCGGTCGCTGTGCGCCGGCATTCTTTTTAATTAAAGCTCGCTAATCAAATCACGATCACGCGACGTTGCTTCAACGTTGCTATCGAGGCGCGCGGATGGGACGATAACGATGCCCCGGGGATGGCCGGAATAAATCCGTGTTAACGTAATTATACCACCGTCTGCTCTCCCTCCCCCTTCGAAGTCTGCATGTCTGATTTATTCCGTGAACATGCACCGGAAGATGTTTCATATATTCGCGACCTTAAATGCAGCGATGATTTTTTCGAATCGATACGTAATATATAAATTTAAAAAATACCCAGGTAGTAAGCGACGTCACTTTGACGTCGAATGACGTCATCAGACGTCACAATGACGTCAGTTTGCTACCTGGAATGTCATTGATGTCGATGACGTCATTAGACGTCAAAATGATTTTTGACGTTTAATGACGTAAGTTTGCTGCTTGGGTTGATACATCGGCATCTTTGCGCATTCAGGGTACGATGCAAGAAAACTCTCGCCACTTGTTCGCGAAGACGATACATTAATCGGGCGCAGTAAAATAAGATTTGAGCGAGCGCGCAATTTGCGTGGAAATGGGTTGGACGAATTACCGGAGACTCGAGGAACACGCGCGCTTTTTGGTGCACCTCGCTTCCAAGGGTGGGTTGAGAAGGGGGACAATAACGGCGCCCCGGGGACGACCCCGGGGTAACGCGATTACGCAGCACGGCGTTATTCTCTCTCTCTCTCTCTCTTCTCTCTCTTTCTCTCTCTGTCTCTCGGAGCGGTTCGCCCGGCTTGATTTATCCGCGTAGCCACGCGTTATTGCATTAGCGCCCCGACGGCGATGCCCGGCGTCCCTCGCTCGCTTCGCCGGCGACGAATGCGAGAAGTCGTCCATCCACCCACCCGTGAATCATCTACGGGAGAGTTACGTCTTGCACGCCGCTGCCAGGACGCGGCGATCTATAATTCCCTCTCGCGGTTGGTCAGCGATTCTGGCGCGTTCTGGAGTCCTCTCCCTCGTCGGCTGAATCGTCGTCGGCGACAATCCGAAATGCGATTCGAAAGCTGCTCTCGATGTATATATATATATATACCTTGTGATGCGTCGTTTCCTAAATTCCCCCGATCGAGAAAAAATTCGCTTCGAACTCGTTGACAAAAATGTGAACTCTTGAAAGTGATGATATATGTGTCGATCAAAGAATCCAATCTATGTTGAGATGTTTTACCCTAAGTTTCTCTCTTGTTGACAAAAGTACAGCGTTCTGATCAATCTTTTTCGAGACTTAAAGGTGCCCTCTCTCGCACATACGTGAGCATATACATATGTAAAACCTACGTTAATTTCAACTCCGAAATCGCCGCCCGCTAATTTGAGGAGGGGGCTGGTTCAAGAATAGATGACAATAAACTATACATTAATGTCGTCGGCGCTCCTTGACGTTGTCGGGGCTGATTAAGCTTCCGATCGCGGTTTTGCATCACAGTTCTTGGACACGGAGCGCAATTAATCGGGATACAAAGCGAGACTCCCGATCCTGTATACATTATGTTACACGTTTCCCGTTCGCAACTTTTACTTTATACACACTGAGTTGAGTGTCCTTGTTTTTTTGTACTTCTCAGACGCTTCGGCACGTCGCGGATGAAGGGATACACGTCGTTTTTGGAATATTCTGTACATGAGCGAACTTCTACGCGATTTTTAATCATAATGACACGTAGCAAACTGACGTCATTGAACGTCAAAATGACAACAGGATACAATTGGTGATTCGATAGATAGCTGCTGGAAAGCTATACTTTTTTAGGATCAACTGAAAATTAACTACAGATAAAACAATGACGCGATTAAAATTTCTGAATAATTTGTATCAACTGCGCAGATTTATCTTCGCTCGTATACAGAGGTCTTAACAAACGAACGAGCGTTCTTTCACGAGTAAGATATACATATCCTTCCTTCCTATTCCGTCATCAGGAATTGAGCTCGCCGCGATTATACAGTTCACTTCTGATCCTTTCTTCGTTCTAAATCGCTCCTCGAAGACTGTACGAGTCTGCTCTCCGAAGAAGATACTCACCGCTCGCGCACACCTCTTCATCCCCGTAGAGTCCTCTTCGTCCGAGACGTACCATGTACAAGCGTAGCGTACCTTACGCGGGCCTGTCGAGCCCTAAGGCCTCCTGGTGCCGCCTCGCTTTCAGCCTCAGGTCCGCGATGCTGCTGTTCTTCGAGCGGGCCGCCGCGGCGGCCAGCGACGCCGCCAGGCTTAGCGGATGAGGGGGATGATGGCCGGCCGAAGGCGCCGAGGGTGGCGGCGGCGGCGGCGGTGGCAGACAGAAGAGACCCCCGGCCGCCGCGTAGTGCAGCACCGCCGGGTCGAAGGCCGAGCCCACGGTGACATTCGCGGCACCTGTTCCCTGCATTGGGGGCGGAGGAGGGTGCAACCTGAGCGCCGGCAGATACGGGGCGACCCGACAGGGCTCCAACGTCGTCGGCGGGCTACGCGGTGCCAGCACCATACTCCCGGCGACGCCTGCGAAAGCATGTCAATTTTAGCTTGATCTTCTGAATCTTTAAATTCACATTTCTCCATATAATTCTATTTAAATTCTCCACATATTTTTATTTTATTTCACTTTTTGACACAATAAAATTAGTTTTTTTCATGTTTTTTGATTGGAAATATTTTAATATTTTTATTAATATATTATAAAATTATAATATTAATATATTATAAATATATAATATTAATATATAAATATATAATATTAATATATTATAAATATATATATTAATTTATAAATTAATAAATTTAATAAATATATATTAAATATATATTTAATATATAATTTATATATAATTAATTTATAAATATATATATATTATATATATATATAAATATATTAATTTAGGTTCATAAAATGTGAAAACACTAAAGTTTATTAATGAAGACTTTAGTAAAACTATCAATTACTTTAACTGTCAATGTGACATACACATATTTCAATTTAATAGCTAGTAAAAACTAGACGTAGACATAGTAGTGCATCAGAAGGAAGAATTAATTTTCACTGAAACTGATCGCACTATCATCCACATCTGACTCTTAGTAGCCGGTTGAAACCAAAGTTTATACTTGGAACAGCTTTATTCACCTTTGTGTAATTGACTCTCGTGCTTGCGGCACTTGGCGCGTCGATTCTGGAACCAGACCTGCACCCTCGCCTCGCTGAGACCGAGTCGCTGGCTTAACTCCTCTCTCATGAACGCGTCTGGGTAGTGCGTCTCGTCGAAGAGTCTTTCGAGCTCGGCCAGCTGCTCGATGGTGAAGTTCGTTCGCGATCTCCTCTGCTTGCCGTTTCCGGTTCCGTTGTTCCGGCAATTGGATCCTATAAAATTAACTGTTAGCGAGCAAGCGTGAAAAAACACCTTACATCAAATTTTACATTAAAATTTAAAAAATAATAAAAATCTTATTTTGTCCAATTACAATTAAAATGATATAAAGTCATGGGTGTCCGCAGAAGGAGGCAAGAAGGGGTATTTGTCCCCTCCCTTGAAATCAGTAACAAAATTAAGCTTTTGCTCTCCTTTTGAATAAACATCGGAATTTATTTGTATATTTAATATAAAAATAAATATAAAAATAAATATAAAAAAAAATAAAAATAACAAAATAAAAAAATTAAATTAAAAGCATTTTTAAATTTAATTATCTAGAAAAAATCCTGCGGACGCACATGGATATATAATATATGTATAAAAAGAGAAAAAATTCGCCGATCGGACATTTCTCTGGACGAGAACGGAAATCCGAGTGTCGTGAGTCATCGTCAGAAATGTGAGAGAGGAGGGGAAGATGGTTTTCGTTGCGCGATGATTAATTCACGGGGACAAATGCGCGAGCGACCAGACCGAAGAGAGAAAGAGAGAGAGAGAGAGCGACGTGATATCAAATTGATCTCCACCAAGTCGTTCACGGACCATTTCTTCTCAGTCTGGGCGCCATCAACATATATCTCGCCACCTTATGAGAATCTTATTCAAATCGAGATTCCCGGGGCACGACGTCCCTAATTGGATGACATTAGACAAACGTATCTGGCGTCTCTTTCTCCGAGAAATGCAACGACGCGAAAGTTATTCCTCCTCAGAATCAACTGAAGAGAGATCTATAAAACCATGAATATATATGTTAATTTTTTTGCCATTTTTTTCACCATATACTATATTAATAAAAATATTTTTATTAATATTTTTATTAATATAGGGTATATTAATAAAAATATTATATATAGGGTATATTAATAAAAATATTTTTATTAATTAAAATATTTTTATTAATAAAAATATTTTTATTTACAGATCTGTTAATAATTTTATTAATAAAAATATTTTTTATTAATATACCCTAACAGCACACATATCCCGAAGACGTTCAGAGAACATCCTGAGGATGTTCGAATGTCCTCTGGATCCTCTGAATATTTTTCGCACATATTGTGCTATTGGGGATATGGTGAATTATATATATATGTGCATATAAGAGCGTGTTAAACCTGAAATCTGATAACGCATCGAGAGGATGAGAGATTCCATCGGACAGATGCAGAAAGGCGAAGGTGGAGGGTGATTAAGGTGAGAGTACGAGATTTCCTTCTTCCATCCCCCTCCCTTCATCCCCCGTTTAGTGGAGGGGATGACTAACGACCCGGTATAAGACTTGCGTAGCTCACCACTTTGCTAAATTATATAAATCACATCCCCTTCGTCAAGGGCTCTTACGCGAGATACTTAATCCACCTCCATCCCCCTCCCTCACCCCTTCTCGTCCAGGCTTCCTCGCCTCTTTTACGTCGGCAACACCTCGAAGAGCCGTAGTACCGTAGTTACTTTACATTAAGCGACCATTAATTAAATCGTATGGCCGTTAATTATCCGAGAGCGTCTCTCTAACTCGCGGCGATGCTTGCGGCCGCTCTAATACGAGGCTTCAAGGAACTTTTTCGCGCCTCTGCATCCTTTCTTCAAGATAGTTATCCTATTGTTATTCTAATTCAAGTATCTCTCACAAATATATATGTGTGCGCATGAACGCGTATATCATATTCATATTTTTGTTGAATTTTATAAGAGCTTAAAATTAAGCTATTTTACCCATTATTAAGGGAAGAAAATTAATAAAGCAAACAAAGATTCGATAATAATCTGTAAATTATCATAGAATCTGTAACAATCAAAATATCATATGTTTTTGTTCTGCAATGGTCTTCAATATTAATCATTTTTATAATATATTGAGAATATTAACTCGCCGTCAGCAATCTGGGTCTTTTAAGGCACAAGCAACTTTTTCCAAATTGCTGTTTCATTTCGCTTTGTATAAACAATTCAGTTTGATATTTGGCTTTAAAATATATTGGATATTGTAATAGAGATATTAACAAATTTGTCAGAATTTTTTAAAAGTTTAGAATATAAAAATTACATGGGATAAACTTAAAAGACTGGCAATAGTTTATTGATGGCGTTAGCAAAAAAATTGCTGACGAAGGATTAAGAATTAGAAAAATTATTATATTTATTATAAATGATTAAAATATTATTTAAAAAATTTTTGTTTCTTATTTTTTATTCTTTTTTAATTTTTTAAATGTAATTTTTTTTATATTAAAGATGTAAAAGAAATTCCAGTGTTTCAAAAGTGATTCAAAAGGAGAACAAACGTTTAATTTTTTACCGATTCCAAAGGGAAACGAATGCTCTCCTCGTATCCCCGTATATTTAGAAAAATTATTATATATATTATAAATGATTATAATATTATTAAAAAAATTGTGTTTCTTATTTTTTGTTCTTCTTAATTTAAAACATTTTATTTTTTTATATTAAAGATGCAAAAGAAATTCCAGTGTTTCAAAAGGAGAGCAAATGCTTCATTTTTCACTGATTCCAAAGGGGCGCAAATGCACCCTTGTACCCTCCTTGCGGACGCTCATGCATAGAATTAATATACTCTTGCTGCATCGCTTCTCGTTACTGTATGACGATTTTAATTTAACGTACCATATGATTTCTAAAAAAAAAAAAAAAAAAAATGTACGCAATCTACGCGGACGGGTTTACGCGCCGGCGCTATCGCCATGCGGCATTGCGTATACGCGGTCCCGTTTTAATCAATTAGCGCATATCCGCGTAATCCAATCTGAGCCCCCGAGGCAGGGGTACTGGCGCGCAGCCCGCATCCATATGTACAGCGGTGGTTTAAAACCCTCCCCTTTCTTCACCCTTCTGCTCTAAAATAACTCGCGCGGTTTTCGACACCCTCTCGCCCCGTTAACATAACCCACGGGGAGCAACACATACGCGCCTTGTCGCAGTCATTAACTCGAACGTGTCAGTCGTTTATTCCCCCGTATATTTCGCGGGGGTGAGAATCGGCATCGTCAAACTCCCCGCTTTCTTCTCGCTCTTTCGTCGTTTTCTAAAACGTTGGCTTCGGATAAATGAGGAGAGAGTAGACATTATAATTATTTATGAAGTAATAATAATAATATATTATTATAATTAAATAATATTATATTTCAATAAGAACACACGATTTAATTATAATTATATATTATTGTAATTAAACAATAAATTATTATTTCATTATATATTAAATTGTTTTTATTAATTATAATAATATATAATAATAATATATAATTATAATTAAATTGCGTGTTCTTATTTAATTATATAATAATAAATATAATTATAATATCTTTCATTATATTTATATTATTGAATTTTGTATATACTGAAGTTTGATATAGGTACATATTTTTATGAATTATAATAATATATAATTATAATTAAATTGCAAGTTCTTATTTAATTATATAATAATAAATATAATTATAATATTTTTCATTATATTTATATTATTGAATTCTGTATATACTGAAGTTTGATATAGGTACATATATGACAAAGGTACATACGATGGCAAAAGATCTCGAGAACATCTCCTAGGTGCAAAATCGTAGCTGCCGAACGTTAACCGATACTTGGTAGAGATCGGGACAGCGAAAAGGATTCTACGACGAAGAGGGAGACAGATAGCGCACCGAACACCCTTGCTGCTAGAAAACCCAAAGCAATCGCACTCGGACGCGAGGGGTCACTAATTCGATTACCAAGAGCGCTGCCCTCTTGGCCTGATCCAGTTAAGCCACCCTCTGGACCGGCCACCACCTTGGCTATACTATTTTTCTCCCTCCCAAAACGAGCCGAGATACCGCGGCCATTAGACGTATAAAAGCGTCGTCGTAGTATCCCAGTTCCATAGTATCGTATAGTCCTTGCATATGGCGCACGGTCCCATGAATACGCAAGAAGCGAAGGGGCTTTTAGATCTGCAATCACTTATCGCTTAATGAAGCAAAGTGGCCGGTTGTACCCTCCGAACGGTTTAACCGCTTGTCGCATATAATTCTTTCCAAATCTGAGTAATCATAACATCACTTCATATATATTTAGATAATACACTTATATAATTTAATTAATCTTCCTTTTCTCTCTTTACTTTAATTAATTAAATTTAATTATCCAATGTAAACATGCATGAGCATCCGCAGGATTTTTATTTTTGTTCTTAATTTTTTTAAATTTTATTCTTTTATATTAAATATGCAAAAAAATTCAATATATTCAAAAGGAGAGCAAATGCTTAACTTTTTATCGGTTCCAAAGAGGAGGCAAAAGCCCTTCCTATAACTTTGAATTATAGTGTATATGTATATTGTTTTTCTCTTAAAACGAATGCTTCGTGTCTTTTATTTTCACCGCAGTAGTTTTACATTTCTGCTAACTAGTTTAAATTTAATTATCAAATCTAAACATAGAACCATTACTATAAATTATAAAAATATGCAGAAATATTGTTTTCTCTCTGAAAAAGGAGCACTTCGCGTTTTAATATTTTCCCGCGGCAGTTTGATACTTACGAGAATATATTTTAAAGCTTACAACATTTATTATGTATATTTTTATATTGCTGTATCGCGAGGAGGCGAGAAGTAACGTAAATACGCGAAAGGGGAAGCTCTCTCATCTTTCCTAAAGTAGCGGCCGCGCGCACCCTTCGCTATCATACTTCAGGAAACTCGCGCCCCAAGTGCCATAAATATACGTATACGAGAGCGCGGGCACGCTTTGACCGGCGGTCAAGGCACCAACACTTACGGCAATCGCGGAAAAACACGCGCGACTGAAGACCGATGGGCGCGAACGTCGCGCTAAATCGTCGGGAGAGGCACAAAATGTGTTTTGGAGTATCGCATCGCTGGAAGTGCTCGTTTCGGAAAACTGCAAGATCCGTAATAGCATATATACGACGCGAAAAGAGGCATTTATAAAGCCATTACACGCTTTACAACAACAATTTATTGAAGTCGAATAAATATTTATTTCAATACCGCCTAATAAATCATTTATTTGAAACTAATAATATTGATTTGATGTAAAAAATATTTATCTGTGATATAATAAAATCTTTTCAAAACAGATAAATATTTATTTGTTACAAATAAATGATATGTTAGGCAATATATTGAAATAAATTTATTAATTTAATAATTTAATAACTTTTTAGCGCGCAAATTTAAAATTGATATTATAATAGTAAAATGCTTCATCATAGTATTAATATAAATACACAAAAAGAGCACGATTATTAATGTTTTTTATCATTACTCACACTGAAAAAATTGTTAATTTAACTAAACCGCTCAACTAAATAGTATTTTGTTAATTGAACATGTAAAATTAATTTAAATAAAATATAACATATTAAATCTAACAAAACATGTATTTGATTTAAACATATATTCGATTAACAAAATAGTAATTTAGTTGAGAGGTTTTCGTTAAGTTAACAATTTTCTTTTTTCAATGCAGAATTAGAATTATATTAAAATTTTCGTAATATTACGAAACAGAAATTGGTCATAGTATTGTGCTTGAAAATATTAAATTAAATATGAAACTGAAACAATTATTTACTTGATGAAATTCATGATCCATTAGTGACTATTTCTTTTGCAAAAATTATGATTACACAAATTATAATAAACACATGATCAGAAAAATTATAATATTTAAATTATAAACCAATATTACTACTATAATTAAATTATAAATTATAAATTATGACGGAGTTTCCTGACCAGACTTTCGTTCTACTGTGAAACGCGTCCATGTCAGTGAATCAGGTAAACGTATAGTCAGACACAACCGGTCGGGCAGCTGTCATCTGTTATCTGTCATCCGGATCACTCGCGTTTCCTTCATCATCATCATAGATAGATCAATTTAAATTCTTGCCAACTCTTTTCAAGTTATAAAAAATAATTAATAACATTATAAAAAACGTTGATTGTTACGCAGCAATATATATAGTATTCCAGTCAAGTATATAACGATACGGCGAATTAACGCGGTTGCAGGGGTGCGCATGAATATCTATTACTTGACGCTCTTTTCGATACACCGAAAGTCCTCCAGGCTTTAGAAGAAGCTCCTCGTGGATATTTACGATTTTACTTTCGCGGCCGCTGGCGGGCAGATTGCTTTTTGATTTGCGCTTAATCGGAAAAAGTTATGGGCCCTCGAGAGATAGGCGAGTTGCAGCAGAACTCGTCGCTCCCTTATCCCTCCTACCCCCGGTTTAGGGGCGTACACACAACTAACGCGGCGGGCCGCATATTAAACCATAAATTCATGGCGCCGCGCGCTCGACGGCCGGAGTTATCGCGCGGAGAAGTGTGCGTGGCGTTACTTCAACGCCGCACGCTTTTTATAACGCGATTGCCCCGTCGCTTCGATCTCGTTCCCCGCTTCGTTCGTTTCCCGTTTCAATGTTTGTTGCGCGATAATAGTTTCCTCGCACCGGGTATACGAGACCACGGAGACCCCCTGATGACGCGACTGACCGATCTCTTCAGGACACTGAAAAAAATGTTTATTAACTCGACTAAACCTTTCAACTAAATATTATTTTGTTATAATTGAATATATAAAAATATTTAAATTAATAATATTAAATCGACTTTTAAAAAAACGTATATTTGAATACTTAAATACTATCCGAGCAAACTGACGTCGTTCAACGTCAAAATAACGTGTGCTTGCTACCTGGGTAATATACGGTCTATTAACAAAATAGTAATTTAGTTGAAAGGTTTAGTTAAATTAACAATTGTTTTTCAGTGCAGGCTTTAATTTTTATAATTTAGTAAATTTCAGTGTTCAGAAATAAAATGTTTCAATCCCTCTCTTAGGATGAAATATGTATATAAAGATACAAAATCAGGTATGAAAAGAACTAATAAGAGTCACTTGATTTTAAATTTCTTCTCTAATTATTTATTTTGAACATTTCGGTTTTTTCTTTGGGTCTGTTTCATCATCTGTCAAAGATAGTTTGAAGAAAGGAATAATTCAAAATAATTAGAGAAGAATTTAGAAACAAGTTTGTCTGCTTCTTATTAGTCCTTTTCATATCTAATTTTGTATTTACATGTCTAAGCTTTTCCAATTTAGAGAATTATAAAAATTGAAAGAGATATTAATATTATAATAGTTAATTGATTTTCAAGCGAACACTAATATAACAAAATTTTTTCTACTTTGGAAAAAATAAGAAAGAATAATTGTGACTTTTAACATTTTTAAAAACAACGTTTCCACGAACACACGATAATATATTTAAAAATAATGAGCTTTTTAATTTTCACGAGTATTTTTGTTATATTTAGCCTTCATATAAAAGAAATGTTTCAGCCGGGAAGAAGAGAAACGAGAGGGACTCGACGTAATTTCATCTTTCACTGCTGCTCGGCCGAGCGAGCGTTTTATCGAAGATGACTCGGCTCGTGAGCGAAATCGCCGATCGGGTCGCCGATCATTACGTTGCGAACGGTCAGCTATTCCCAATCACTTGTGAGCTTTATTGGACGACGGTCTGAATTATAAACGAAGATCGGACCCTTGCAACCAGCGCCGCGACTTCGATGCCGCCGCCGAAGGAGGGAGTTTCCTGACCTGACCTTCTCGTTTCTGCACTCGTTCGCGCGGCAATCGCAAACGGGCTAAACCCTATAAAGAATGTCGATCCGCCGTAATCAAAGCTGACACCGTCATACATTGGGCCAGGGCAGGGTGTGAGACGCGTTGCAAATCTGGGACCGATTTTCAGGTCGGTCAGGTGATTTGAAAATATTCAATTAAAAATGATTCCCTGCACTTTCATCTCATCTGTATATATATTTGCATTTTTGTATTCAATTGCTTATTCTTCCGTGAATTCTTCAACAATTTTATAAATTTTCTTATAATGTTGCATTTTCTCTCTCTTCTCTCATTTTTAAAAGCTTTATTTCAACGAAAAAACAAAATTATTTTAAGAAATCTTAGTTTAGAAGTTCATTTATAATTTAGTTATATAATAATATTAATTTATAATTTAAGTATTAAATACACGTGATTATAATCCAAGAGAAATATCAATCAATGAATGATCACGAATTTCATAAAATAAAATCGTGCGCTTTTCAATATATTTGATTTAATATTTCCAAGCGCGATACTATGACAAATTTTGATTATCATATTAATAAACAATAATATGACATCGTCAAGAAGCATTTTTGAATATCAAACTTAAAAAAAGAAATATACCTTTTACATTGCAAAGATTAATATAACTTCTTCACCACCCTCTTACCTTTGCTGGAGTCTTCTTGACTGCTCGACCTTGTAATCTGCGAGGATACTTTGGCCTGGTCGTTGGAAGATATAATCGCTTTGCTGTCACTCGAGCTTTGACTTTTCAATTCAACGCAGTTTTCCGGACTGGGCGATCGATCCCTCGATATGGGCGGCGGCGAGGGGGTGCATCCGAGAAGTTTGCGGACCGACAGCTTCAGCTCGGGAGTCTTCAGGGGTGGCAGGCTCTCCGCGGTGTCCCGGATGTCCTTGATCTTGGCCGTGACGGACAGATCCTCCGGTTGTAGTCGGCCTTCCGGCGACGGCGGCTCCTCGACACTTCCGCTCGTCTCGACGCCGGTCGCAGCCTCCTGCGCGCTTTCATCTAAACAAGTTTTGCTTGTATTGGCCTGGGACCATCTTGCTGAGGATCACGATCATCGGCGGTTAAATCGATTCGTAAGTGACTCGCAGTTTTTCAAAGAGCATTGGCGTATCGTCGTCATTTCTATTGACATAATAGTGAAATAAAGATGATGAAGTAAAATGCAGATTGAGTGACAAGAAGAAAATTGATAGTAGGTATTCATTAGGCTCTAATAATAAGGTAAATAATTTCTGAATAACTGAACAGATACATGTACATATAAAGTGTATAAGAAAATATAATGACAATTAATAAAGAATAAAATTAATTGTCAACTAAGAATGCGAATTATTATTTATAAAAGAATAATTATTGTGTCCTTAAACATTTGCAACTAACTTTTCTTAAATTCACGTGATTGAAAGATCTAAATAATTATGTGATGCAATGTATGAAATTGTTAAATGGACAATACGATGTGATTTTACACAACTGTCACAATCAAATCCCTTCTGGATGGATCCTCTAGATCGATATACATATACATATACTCCATTCTTTGCTGATATGAATCACACTGACAAACTCGCACAGACACATACGAATCGATCTGACTCGCGCAACAAATTCCCCTTCTTCTATGACATATCTAATATATAAAATTTGTATATAAAGAGATCGTGATCTACAAGGTGGTAACTTATAAAAAAATCTTATATAGAGAAGAACGCGCGCACACCGCATTGATAATTTTAACATTGGTTTAATTTGAAATGATTGAACAGTGTAATCGGCACATAAACATCACGCGGAAACGAAAGAACTTGTCGCACGTACGGCGGTCGTCGTCGTCCGCAGCGTGATCACCGATGAGATGCGCGACACTGAGCGTGATCCTGCCGGCGGCGGCCGCCCTGCAGCCGGCGACGGCGGCCTCGACGCTGGCCGCCGCCGCAGCCGCCGCGTTGTCGAAGCTCTTGGAGACGAACTGGGCGAGCTGCTCCATCCTCGCGGTTATCGGGGCGACTCTCGCGCGCGACGTCGCGCCTCGGTACCGACGGCACTCGCCGCCGCCGCCGCTCGCGAGAGAGAACCGCGCCGCCGGGGGACCCGTCGACGGGAGGCACACGGCGACGTCGGCGTCGAGACGCCACGCGTCGCCCAGGACGCCATTCGGCCGCCAACCAATCCTCGTCCGGATGGGCGTGATGGGAACGCCCCGGGTTCGCTTTTCGTCGGTTCCTCACCCCCGACTCGGGCGCCGTAACCCGTCGTCCCCTTCCGGAAGGTTGGCGCATTCCACCCCTCAAACCGACGCTCATTAGCATTTGCGCCCGCTTTGCCGCGCCGCACCGCTGGAAACGCTCGCGTGGAAACCTACCCTACCCTCGTCCTCGTCCGGCCAGGGATAGGATACTCGTTCGGCGACCATACTCCACTTCCGCATCATCCCCTCGCGTTCATCCCTCTCGTCCTCGCGCGCCACGGCGCGCGACCGCCATCCAGGGCCGCTATATTTACTTGGAGGCAGAAAGAGAGGCCGCCGCGGCTAATTAATCCGATGCTTTCCGCGGTTTCCGAAGCTTTTCCTTTTTGTCCGGCCTTGTTATCGGTCATCGAATCGTCGACTTTCCACGCGAGATCTGGAAAGAGATAGATATATTTTAGAAATGAGGTTGAACACTTTGATGACGCGCATCACTTCTTTCTCGGTAAATGTCACAATAATGAGTATAATTGTGTGTATATAAATTTTAATTTACTTGGAAAACTTTATACTAGATTATAAGCTATGTATTTTTTCTTATTTTGTACTTTTAAGTGATTTTTTACTTTTGCATATTTATGTATAACATTTACAAATATCATTATAAAATAAATAAATTTAATTCAATTTAAATCCAATAATTCAAATTCTTTTATTTAAATTTAAATAAAATTTAGTGATTAATCCAAAAATTACTAACTGCTTTTAAAATCATCAATATTTTATACAGAATGTATGTGTGAAAAAAGAGGATTCAAAATTTAAAGAATAAGTAGCATTCACAATATTATAAATGAAAATTATCTCAATCAATATAAATAAAAAAATTAATCTTACCAAAAATTGAAGCAAGTTTTGCTTTAATGATACAGATGATTTGTTTGCATTTTTAAATATATAAAACTATATGATTCTTTTTGCATAAATCGATGCAAGCAAGTTTCCTGTATTATTAAAACTGAAAATTGTTTCCCTCTCTTTTTTTATAAGATAAATGTTAGTAATTTATTGAAATAAAATTACCATCTTTTCAAAGTTCTCTCTTCTCTAGCACATATTGTATATAATATTAGATTTCCTTGAAAAGACAATAATTTTAAAAACGCCAATTATTCATCTTCACTGTGACATGTATGAAAAGATAAAAATGTTCAAATAGAAATAAATTTGGAAAACATCACGATGCAGATTTATCGATACACAGATAAACGGTCCTGCATGTTACTCGCGACAAATACATTTCTCTTGTCTCATATGCCCTATCTCACTCTTTCAACTTCTATATATTTTTCCGTTTCAATATCCACTTCTCCTTTTATCAATATCGCATTCTTTCTCTCTCTTATCTACTCTGCGTCTTATTCTTTTTCGGTACGTAAATCTCAGGAATTCACTCTCGTGAATTTTCAGAATGATGTATATCGGCTCTCATGCATTCGTGTCGATCTCGATTTCTCGATAAAGTGCACGCTGCGTTTGTTGCACGTAAGTCAAGTCGAGGGGAAAACGTCCTTGACTCTCGTCCTTGCGTCACGAATATCGCTAAATCTGCATCGCTTCGCTCGCTTATCGAATCTAGGTACAAGTTATCCTCTTTGACGCTCTTGTCCCGCAAATCTCCGTTTGCGCCAGGTGAATGCGACCCTGGGACGCGCGCCCCGTGTTTGTCGCCGCCAAACTCGGCAATATTTAAATGGGATTGCATTCGGGGAATGTAATTGCTCGGGTTGCTAGCGGACTCGGCGTTGTCGGTCCGTTTTACAGGATGTGGACAGATGGGAAGGGAGAAGGATATAAGTCCTCACACGAGAAGCGCAAACAAACGCGCGAATGAAAATTTCGAACTTGAAAACGTTACGTCGTATATTACAGACGATTTAAGATTCAAGATTTTTTGCAAAGAGATGTCGAGATCTCTTGATTCTGTACAAGAGAAAAATGTACTTATATTTTTTATTAATATTATATATGAAATAAAATATAGAAAGAGACAAGAATTATATTAAAGAGTAAATAAAGTAAAAATTCGAATGAATATTAAATGAGCGCGACAAAAAGTATGCATTTTTACATTATCGAAATTAATAACGAGAATCAAATAGTCGGATAACGAGGAATATAAATGGAAAAGTCGTCGCGCGCACACATTACTCGAAATATTCGCGCTTCTCAATTTCTGGGAGATGAGACAACGACAATGGGATCGAGCGAGGACACCGTGCGAACGAGATGAGGGGACACCCTCTCTGCGCTAAAGCAAAGAGAGAAAGAGAGAGAGAGGGGGTGAGGGAGGGAGACAGAGGGAGACAGGAGCATCGATGAGGATGAGGGTGGATGGAACGAAGGGGGACAAAATGCCGGGAGTGCGGCCTATAACGCAGGCAGACGGAGCCAATCAGGGCGCAATGCGATTACCTTAACGAGAAATCCGATTACTTATTCATTCGCCTAACTCGAAATCAGTTTAACTAATCGTTTAATTCGGTCGCTCGCTACCGGCCCCTCCGCTTGGTTCCAGCCTCCGGATCTCTCCGGCCTGAGAGAAGAGGAGTGTAGACGACGCGATGCGATGTGTTGGCGTGGCGAACAGGGTGCGGGATTATGGTATCTCTTTTCAGGAACGTAGCGAAATCCCGAACGCACGAGAAATTTCCTCGCACGAAAATCTAAAATGAAATCGCATTTTAAAGTGTGACAGATCACTGGGAATTTTAACAAAAAATTCTAGCAATATTTTGTAGTACTTCTTATTGTTGCACTCTCTGTTATTCAATCTAATATCTAATAAAGTTTTTTAATAATATAATGATGGATGTTTTTTGATTAGACAACCTAATAATTAAATATCAATCTGATCAATATTCTTTCTTGTATAATGTTATATTAAATTATATATTATGTTAGATATAATTATTTCAAAATCAATTTTAAACGCGTGTAATTATACTTTCTTATATTTTTCAGGCTTTTTTAGTATTACCGTATTGTCAGACGTTAAAAGAATTATTTCGACCAATCATTAATTCGAAAAATATTCTTTTCGATCATCTTTTCAAGGGACACCTGATCGGTTTACCGATTCGTCGGCTTCCGGGGCTCTTCTCGATCCTTAATCCACCTCTGAATCTCGATCCAACCCTCGTTTACGTATATATATAATATATATATATATATATATATATATATATATATATATGTATATACCTTTCTAGACCACGCACACGCGTGCCTGAGCATTCGCACGCGTACACCGAAGAACCGAACGTCCTGGTAGGGGGATGACGCGGAGCGAAGGAGAGGGCTCATTCAATTCAATTACGTAATGAATTGTCGTGTCTTGAGTAAACACCCTTCCTCGCCGCGACTTGACGGCGGAAAATCCAGGGCGGTATCCACCGGCACCCTCCTATATCTTCCTCTCTCTCTCTCTCTCTCTCTCTCTCTCTGTCTCGTCTTCTCTTCGGAGGAGGGGATGGGATAGCGGTTTAGGTGAACCGAATCAATCTGGCACCCGGCTGTACGAAATCTCCCCCGATGCAACCTCGGTGCGCGTGTGTGTGCACGCAAATTCGGCTTTCCATGTGTGTGTCATCAGTGATTCTTCACGCGCGCGCGCGCGCGCGAAAGCGTCCTGTAAACACGCGTCTGTAAGTTTGCATGTAACATCCGTGTGATAATCCACGTGATTATGTGAATAGAGTGTTAATCCTCTCTCATTTCGAGAGTATCTTTGAAATATACATTTTAGCTTCGATAAAGAGAGTTAATTATAATTTCTCTTCTTCGAGAATATATACATATATGTCAATAATACTTTTATACAAAGGATTAAAATATTTTTACAAAACCACACGTACAATTAATTGCAATATATTTATATAATTGTCAAAGATATTATAGACAAAAAAATTTGTCAACTTGGCTAAACCTTTCAACTAAATATTATTTTTTTAATTGATATAAAAATATTAATTAAATATTAAATATAATATATATTAAATCTACATAACACACAAAACATATATATTTGACTTCAATACTATAATACATGTTCAATTAACAAAATAGTAATTTATCATTGAATTAATCAAGTTAACAATTTTTTTCAGTGTATATATAGTATTATTTTTATTATAATTTTATTAATTACCAAGATCTCCGAATTCGCCAAAATCTTGGATATCTGGGATGCTCATACTTGAGGAGATGATTCGAAAAAGAGTCCTTGATTTATATGCAACAGCGCGTGATCTCTTGTCTCTCGTTTGCGCGGGAACTGTAGATTCGTGCAATTCCTCTGTGAATTAATGGGAGAGAGACTGTTGGAGCAGTTTGCACGATTATCGGGGACGGTCGGTGATCAAAGGAACCAAATCGACGTTAATGTTAATATAGCGATCGAGGTTAAAACGTGTAGCGTCGAGACAAACAACTATATATCGATACTCATCGATAGCTGCAACTTCACGCAGTTATGAATCGAGGTGATTCGCGATCGCAAAAAATTGCACTTCTACGAATACTTTTCGAATATTTTTCTTATTTATATCGAATGGTACAATGCAACTTTTTATCGCATACGAATTTAATATCTTTTACCTTTGTTAAGAACTGTCCTGCAGTCGTTGATACGAAACAATCTCGTCGGTTTGGAAGAGATAAATTTTTGCGAACAAAAGCGAGACCGAAAACATGGCCGATTCTCCAAGGATCATTTATGCGAAAAGGACGCGCGATGATTGAAAAGACAGAGGTGCTTCCCTCTAGTGAGACATTTCTCGAACTTCTTTATGTATTTATCAGCACCATCCTGTTTTATCCATACTTTTGTAGATTAGACTGCTGCAAAATATGTTGAAAATGTTTTCAAAAAATAAGAAAAATTAAAAAATTTGTTCATTCTTTTAAATACAATGCATATAATTTATGTTGCCAAATTTTTCAGACAAATGTAAATGCTCAAGAAGTGAGATTTACAAAATTTTACTTTTTTAAACAATACATATTTGATGAAATGTCGAATTTTTACGAATTTATATATATATGAATTTCTGAGACTTAATAAATATTGTAAATTGTTGATTTTTTAAATATGTATTTAAAGGAAATAATCTGAACTGTCATAAATGCTCATGGATTTTAAGGTTGTAGGTTACTAGTCAACGATAACGATTGTGTAATAGAAAATACATGTGTCATGTTGCGTGATTGACAATAAGTGGAAGTGGAAATGATAAAAAAGTTAAAAGTCAGCTTGGATAAACTTATTTACTAAATTACGGCATACTGGAATTATAACCCAAGCGTCATGTACCACTTTGGAAAGGTCAACCGCCCGATATTTTGCAGGCAAGTAAACTATATATTATATACACAATCAATATATAATTTATTTTATATATATATATATATATATATATGTATGTATGTATGTATATTAATTAACGTTTACTTGCCATAGGGGTCCATTAACTTTATGCATCCGAGAATCTCATCACTCTACATCGCAAGTCAACAGGATCAACAAAGTCAGTCAGTTTTCAAAACATTAATAACTGAATATTCAAGAAACATGTATAGTTATGTTGAAAATGAATTTATTTCACAGATTCTAATAGCGAACAGAGGAGAGATAGCATGTCGTATAACAAAAACTGCCAAGAAACTTGGTGTAAAAACTGTAGCTGTATACAGCGAAGTGGACAGAAATTCTATGCATGTGGAACAAGCTGATGAAGCTTACTACATCGGACCTGCACAATCTAGTCAGAGTTATTTACGTCAGGATAAAATTATATCAGTTGCCAAACAAGCCAAGTGCCAAGCTATACATCCAGGGTATGGATTTCTTTCAGAGAATACAGAATTTGCAGAATTATGTCAGCGGGAAAATATCATATTTATTGGTCCACCAGCAAGCGCAATCAGAGATATGGGTATAAAGAATACTTCAAAAATTATTATGACAAAAGCTGGAGTTCCTATCATAGAAGGTAAGAAATGTCTTTTCTATTTTAAGCATAGAAAATATAAAAATAGAAAAGTCACGTTTCTAATATTGTGCACATTTCCTTGGTAGGATATCATGGGGAGGATCAGACAAATGAAACACTATTAACAGAAGCCAAAAAGATTGGATTTCCAATAATGATTAAAGCTGTACGTGGTGGTGGTGGGAAAGGTATGAGGATCTGTCTGAAGGAATCTGATTTTATCGAAGCATTGGAATCTGCAAGAACCGAATCCGAAAAAGCATTCGGGGATTCGGCAGTGCTCTTAGAAAAATATGTTGCCGAACCTAGACACGTGGAAGTGCAGATTTTTGCTGATAAACATGGAAATGGTGTTTATTTGTTCGAAAGAGACTGCTCCATACAAAGGAGACATCAAAAAGTGATTGAAGAGGCGCCTGCTGTACGTCTGTTAATATTATTACAGAGATGTGCAGGAACATAGAAACCTAGAATTATTATTTAATTTATTTTACAGCCTGGTATTTCCCAGAAACTGAGGCAAGAGTTGGGAGAAGCGGCTGTGCGTGCTGCTAAAGCTGTAGGATATGTTGGTGCTGGTACAGTGGAATTTATAATGGATCGGAATAATCACAGTTTTTACTTTATGGAGATGAATACGCGTCTCCAAGTGGAACATCCTGTTACCGAGGCAATCACCGGCTTGGATTTGGTGGAATGGCAACTGAGAGTAGCTAGTGGTAAAGAACTTCCACTCAAACAAGAACAGATCGGTCTCAACGGTCACGCTTTTGAAGCGAGAATTTATGCTGAGGTAATGATATAATTATTTACGCGTTTTATATTAAAATAATATATATATATAGATATATATACAATTTTTGTGATTGAATACTATTGCTAATGTCATTGCTATATCACAGAATCCAAGGAATGGTTTCTTACCAGGAGCTGGTGAACTTTTATATTTGAAGCCCCCTCGAATAACAGACAATGTCAGAGTTGAAACCGGAGTTCGACAAAATGACGAAGTATCTGTGCATTATGATCCAATGATAGCAAAATTAGTGGTTTGGGGGAAAGATAGGCTCGAAGCTGTCAATGTACTTCGATCAAAGCTCAGTGAATATAATGTAAGTAATAATAATTTACACAAATTAAATTCATAAAAATAGATTTATATACATACATATGTGCATGTGTGTTAAATTAAACAAAATAATTCTATTCTTACAGATTGCTGGTTTGGATACAAATATAGAATTTATCAAGGATCTTTGTGCTCATCCTAAATTTCAAAATGGCGAAGTACACACAGGATTCATCGAGGAGAATTTTGAGCAGCTATTTCCTAAATTATGTATACCTAATCAAGTACTGATTCAAGGTGCTCTCGCTTGTATATTACATGAAGATGTAGATTCATTAAGTGCAGCATTAGAAACAAAAGATCCCTTCAGTCCATTTGCTATAGAAACTGGATTCAGATTAAATCATACATTACAGCATACATTTCATTTCAATGTCGGAAATGAAAATAATATAGTGGAAGTAAAGTATCCTGAACCAGATATGTATCTAATGAGAGTTAATAGATTGGGACCATGGAGAAAAGTGATTGGAACTTTGAAGAAAATAGATGGTGCTTCAGAACTGTTTGCAGAGATCGATGGAATCATCACTAAAGTGCAGACAGTGAAACTCAATAATAAATTACACATATTTACCAAAGTAATTAACTAATGTATCATTTAATGAAATTAAGAATTTTCTACGCATATAACAAAAATTTTATGAAATTTGTTTGTAGGATCGTGAATGGCAATTGATTATTCCTACTCCTAAATTTGTGACTGCACTTACGAGTCGAGTGGAACAAAATCCATATACGACATTAAGTCCAATGCCTGGATTAGTTGAAAAAATCTTTGTTAATAAGGGAGATACAGTAAAGAAGGGCGATTCGTTGCTAGTTATTGTTGCTATGAAAATGGAGGTAAGCTATTTAATTTATCTTATTAATAGAAACATACTATATGTATATATCTAACATTTCTTTATTATAGTATGCTATTAAAGCATCTACAAATGGAATTGTGGAAGATGTACTGTGTTCTATAGGTGATAATGTTCCCAAAGATAAGCTTCTCATTAAATTGACAGAAGCTAAAGTATAATATATACCATACAATATACAATATTTTGATAAATATTAATGCAAAACATACAATATATATATATATATATATATATATATATATATACATTTATATTTTATTTTATTAATATATTTTTATATGTTTTTTATAATAAATTTATAATAAAAATAACACTCAAATCTTATTTGTTTATAAATATGATTAAAATTTATATACATGAGAATTTATGTAAAAAACAATTATATAGGATACAATCTTAAAGACTGTGGATTTTCATAATGCAGGTAAAAGAAAAGAAAGCACAAATATATAAAATAGGAGTTTTTAGAATTGATCAAATCCCAACTTTTTATATACAATCTCAATGTTATCAATCTGATGCAAGACTTCCTTGCTTAAAAAGTTAGAACTTTATATTCTATCCATCACCGTGCATATAAAAAAATATAAGGAAAGAAGTTCGACAAAATTAAATGTCATGAATGTGACTTAAAAAAATTAGACAGTTTCATAGACATCATTATATTAAATGTTTATTGCATTCACGCATTATCTCACGCATTCATACTTTTTTACGTTTATATCTATTTAAAAAATTAATAATTGCTTTTAAAAGCAAAAATTAATTAACAATTATTTTAATTTATGATTCACTGGACTCATACTTGGGTAACTCATAGTTTCAGTCATCTATAAATTAATCGTCTTAATAAAATAATATTTATTTAATAAATATTTATAGTAATAATGCTCAAAGTAAAAGATCGATGATTTTGCTAATTTATACAATGCGTTCATGGCACATAGAAATTTGTTTCTTTTTTAAACCTCGGCGTAATAATGTATAATTTACAAGCTCCCTACATAATTTCATGTCTAATAATGGCACGTTCTTATAATTTTCCGAAAGGTTTGCGTGATTTCTTTAATTTAGTTGCATGTATAGTTACATTTTACTCAAATAGTACACGATTTCTCACAAAAAATTACGATTTCTTAAACATAATTTAAATTACATTATTATTGAAATATTTTTAATAAGTGCTATGTATAATTGTTATTTTCATTTAATGTATTGGATCAAAAATTGCACCTTTTATGTTTTTCTTTGAATTACAAATCTTCAAAATATGATTGCAATCATTATTTCTAAGTTGCAAGATCGAATGTATAAATCGCTATGATTTGCGTTCTCATGTATCGCGCGATCTCACTTTTACCCAAAGTCCACCGTGCGCTCTGACTGTCATCCGAAATCTGGCTATCACTTTTTCCTTGCCAAGTATCGGTTCTAATCGACACTTTCTCAGAACAGCGCTAATTATGGATTTCATCTCGAGCGTGGCAAATTTATATCCTAAATAAAATAAGAAGAGAGTGATATATTTCACACTCGCACACAATATTTTTCTTTTTTTCCTGAGAAATCATATATAAATTATATATTGAAGATATCAAATTTTTAAGCAAATGCATCTCTACTATTTTTTCCGAATTATTTTTATTTATATATAGTCTATAATATATATTATTAGAATTGAAACATTTTTCTTACCAATACAATTACGAGGACCGGCGCTGAAGGGTATGTAGGCGTAGGGATGTCTTCCTTCAGAATTCTCGGGATTAAAACGTTCCGGCTTAAAATCATGAGGATTGGAAAAATGATGAGCCAAACGATGTGTGCAGTATGGTACTATAAATACACCGCAACCAGTTGGTATCACATGTTTTCCTAGTGTGAATGAAAACAATACACATTACTCTTTTGATTGACAATTATTCTAAAAAAAAAGATTGAGTCACCAATTGTTCGCTATTCGAAGATCTATTTTTGTTTTATGTAGGACACAGAATTATAATATATATTATATGCACGCATGCGTACGTGATTATAATAATGTTTATTATCTTTACTGTTAGTCTTTTATAAAAATCCACAAATAGTGTTAAAACAAAAATATATTATCTATAATAATAATTTTAAATTTAATGTTTTTGTATGTATAATAAAATTTTATTTAATATTTTGTATATTAAAAATTATTTTATAATAATTTAGTATATGTCTTATTTAAAAATTATTATTTTATAATATTTTTGAATAAAAGAGATAAATAATCGTATAATATTTATAATTAAACTCTCTCTATTACTGTATATAAATACACATCAAAAAACGCGAGCATAAAATAATAAATTGAGATGAATATCCATATACCTTCTCTTTAAAAATCTCACCTATTCTCACATCTTGTCCAAGTGTCCTGGCAAAAAGTGGCACGCTAGGATACAATCTCAAGGACTCCTTGATACACATATCCAAGCACTTCATCTTCTTAAGATCCTGCATGGTGGGCGATCTCCCGTCATCGCCGAAGATCTCGTCCAACTCTGCGATACATTTCTCCTGCCATGTGGGATTATTCGCCAGTAGAAAAAGCGTCATCGCGGCGCCGGTGCCGACCGAGTCTTGGCCGGCTAGCATAAAAGTGCAACATTCCTCGATGATGTCCCGATCGGTGAAACAAGGATTTCTCTCATTGATCTCGACCATGTACTCGAGCAGGGACATCTTTCTATCCTCCATGCTCAGTGTTTTGTCATTGGCGATGAACGAACCGTTCTTTCGCAGGAACTCGCGCTTCTCCTTTACCTTCTCGAAGCAAAAGTCAAACAGATCCTTCTGCTGTTGTTCCTCAGATTTTCCGGCCGCTGTCAATCGGTAGATCCAATCAATTAGCAGCCACGGCCGCGCGAATCTGTACGGCATCATAACTTGGCCCCTTTGGTTTCAGAAATATGTCAATGTTAATAATGGTTATCGCCTTTTATTCGTCGCGATACATAAAATGTGCGAATTGATAAAAGCGGAGACCTTGAAGAAATTGTATGTGAAAAGTTACATAACACGTGTGCATGGAAATTTATTAATGTCGCGCATTGAAAAATTCCCCAAAATTAAATTTAATTAAAAGCGACCGCTCTCTTTTAAACACGAAATAGTATAATTTCTTTTGCATTTGAAAATTTACTATTTAAGTAGTTTGCCTATAATTATATAGCGCTCCATACTGATACTTTACTTTCTAAATGGCGTGTCATCGTCGGCTTTGCTGCTTGCTTGGCGCGCAGTCATGCCCAAAATTGTCTCTATAAAAAATATATAATCATTAAGTCAATATTTAGCATCAGGATAAGTATCATCGTCTATACGGAATATCTCAAAACGTATGATAATGCATGAAAACTTCAAGTGCGCGCGCAGTAAATACATTTATTTTAGCGGTACGCGAACACTAAGAGTCCACAAACACGATTATGCACTATACTGCTCAGACATTTTCGCAGCTCTTTGTCTTCATTTTCATGCTAATTAGCAGGCGCTCGCTATTCCGCGCGAGTACGTTTCTCCGTTTGTAGAAAAGGCGAAAACGTTTTAGCATATGTTTCACTGGTCATTCACAATTCGTATCGATTTCTATATTTAAACACAATATCCTGAATCATCGTATGCATCCTACGTTTTTTATTCTTGCGCGACGCATTCCTTTATATTATTGCATATATCTTGCACGCGTGTCAATTTATCATGCGCTTATAGATGCTATTAACCTTTTTTTTTTATTTACTCTACGTTCGTCGCATTTCACAGACGCAGAAGATGTGAATCTCGTGAATTGGCAAAGTTCTTGATTTTGCAAGGCAAATATATCTCCCACTTTCGAACGTGTAAAGAAGATAAAAACCTAATGTTTTCCGATGTCTCTTAAGTAGGTCAATTAGCATTTCTGCGTATCGTATATCATTCTGTCAATGCAAATTATATAAAAAAGAAAACGGTGATTTTCAAGAGGAAACTATAAGCAATTCCTTCTCCCGATATCTTACGTAAAATATTTCATAATATTGTAAAAGGAAACTATTTTTTTTAATATTATGAGTATATAACGGATATGAAGATATATTTATATTATGAAAATTTACTAATTGCAAGCTTCTTTCGATTCATCGACCGATCACAAATCTTTACTCGAGCAATTTTGTGCTCTAGACGTACCGATCAATATCTCGTAGACCGAATTGTTGACGAACATGGTGACATTCACGTCCTTCCCGTCCTTCTCGAGCAGCTTGTTCACCAGATGATCAGCGCATTTGCCGAACGTTCCGGCGAATCTCTCGAGAACGTGAAGATGGAAGGCCGGTTGCAGAATTTTCCGGTGTATCTTCCACTTGTCCACATCCCGCGTCACCAGACCCTTACCCAGAAAATTGTCCAGCAATTTGTAAAAGAAGATCTTGCGCGTATGCTTCATGCTGCTCAGCACCACTTGGATATCTTCCGGTTCTACGAGCACGACGTACGGCAGAAACGTTAGCCATATCCGAAAAATGCGGCCGTAACTTTGCCCCTCGTTATGCATTCTCTGCATCACTAAAAAAGTTTTTTTAAATATCTGAGAGATAGTTTTGAAGCGCTCAAACTCGAGCATTATTAAAAATTGTATAATATGTACAAATAATTAAATAAATTAATTTTGAAAAATTTAAATAAATATATATATAATAATTTATTAAATATTATTTATTAAATTATTACATGGACATTTGTTATTTATTAAAATTTTATCAAAATTAATTAAATTAATAGTAATAATTTATAATAGTATAGTATAGTAGTAATTTATATAATATATACATATGATTTGGTTCTACGTCCTTCATTGGAAATATAATTATGCATTTAAATGTTGCAACATGATCGAAACACGTTTTGGCGTCAATTGAAATGAGTTAAACTGCTCGACATACCAAAGTCTCGCTATTAAAGTTTTAATCAATACATTCCACAAACTGGTTAATGTTACCCTTATAATTATTAAACCAACACTTATTTATAAACGCGAATAAAAATTTTACATTACATTGACATCGTTATAGTCTATTTGGTCCACATCCTTCTTTCATTTCTATAGTAATAATTAATATAGTACAGATAATACCCAGCAAACACCGATATATAATTGTTACATTGCTACAATAAAACGGAATATAACAGGTAATATAACGTGTACGTTACATGTAACATCCATGTTAGTTGTAATTTCCCACTCATAGATGTAACATTTTAATATAACATATATTACGTTGTAGTTATATTGTAATTATATACCAAATAGCACATTGATGTATTGATAAGTCAGTGCTATCTTGGGATATAATGACAATATAACTACAATGTAATATATGTAATATTAAAAATGTTACATCTATGAGTGGGAAATTACAACTAACATATACGTTACATGTAACATGCTTGAGTATATAACATTTATATATTGTGTTTGCTGGGTATAGTAATAGTTTAATAAATTTTATTAAATGTAATAAATTTTATTAAATGTAACAACATTTTTTTACACGTCAGTATAAATATTTTTTACTTTGTCTTGTGATTTTACTTTGTATTATGATAAACGTTTGACAAGTTAAAATAGAAACTTCCTTAATCAGAAACCGGTTACGTTATAATGTGATACTCGCAGAGTACTCGTTAAATGTAAAATAGCAAACAGTTGAATTGTTTTTGATCAATTAGTCAATAACGTTAATTGATTTTCAATCAACACAGGTGCACTCACGGTTTCCATCGAGAACAGCATTTGCATTGCCAAGAATGGGTACCGTCTTCGGTCCATCGAGGGTGAAAATAAATCTGAGGATCCTGACGTAATTCTTCAGCGCGTATATAACGTAGATAATGGCTACAAAAGCGAAGCAGGTCCACATCTCGCCTGTTGTATGATGCAACTGGTTTTAAAAGAGAAAAATTCGACGTCAAACAATTGCAATTGCGCATACAATAATAAAAAAAAAAGAGAGACAGAGAGGTGCAAATCTTTTCTTTGCATCTAACGATAATAAATTCTACTTATTATTCCATTTATTCTTTCGTGTATAATTCTTGTATTCTCGGAGGTGAAAAATAAATACTTTGCAATAAAATTTTGTTGTTTGTCATTTGAAGCAAATGTGCTAAGAGGATATGTGCATTTATGAAGAGAAACCGATTATTTCGCAAGTGCGTGTTTGATTTAACTTTGCGTGTCTTATACTTTTCACAATTCCTTCCTGCTTTAATCTCTGTTACTTTTAACAAGTTCGTAATGCAAGAATTTTATTGAATCGATGTCTCAATGCTACGTTATTTATATTGTTGTTAGCAAGAAACCTGCTGTCATACAATAATTTAGTTGATGAGACTGCAAGGATTTTTCGCTTTTATATTTTTTTATTTTAATGGATTATAATGTATAGACAGGAAATATATTAGTAGCTATAAATAATAAGTATATAAATGATAAGTGTAATGATAAAATTAATGCATAAATGTGTCATAAATGTGAAATATTGTATAAAGCAACAATAAATTAATATTATATAGATATAGTTATTATTTTCTCTTAATTTACTCGCACATATATCGATTTTAATTATTTTGACATTAGAATACTGATTTGTCATTTTTTAAATATAAATATTTAAAACACACAAAATTATATTCTTTTTCGAATACACACACACACACACAAAATTGTTGTGAAAATTATAATTAGATAAATATTATTTTTCTACTTTTACGAGAATTATTTGGAGATCGCGAAATTTACTTGATCCTGAAACATCGTGGCAAAAAAATCAGCGAAATAAGCATCGTATATGCAAATGATATGCATCCGATCATCGCGAATAGCATTGATTCGCCCGCCAAATTCCACGAGGGACGTTTACTCTTCCTCGCATTAGTGATTCAGAATAGGACATCTGTTAATTGACGTATCGAAGCATGCGAAGTAGAGTGTGCCGCTAGCAATCGCGTATACCGATCGCATAACAATAAGTTTCACAACAAGGGTACAAGCGAAAATATTAATCGAGAAGCTCCTTCAATATGTATATATTAATTTTGTCAAGCCCCTCTGTCGAAATACCTATTACTTGTAGAAGTGCGAGATACGAGAGGAATACAACTTTTGAACGAATTCTTTCGATTTGATATCTTTTTATATACATTGTTAGAAAAATAAATAAAAATATAGATGTCAAATTTATTTTTTATAATCAAAAACTTTATAATAAAAGTTAAAATTTTACAAAAAAATTTGTTACAATTAATATTTCTAAGACGATGATTCGTGGATTGTCAACAGAACAAAATAAGGAGACACTGAGTCTTCCGTAAAAAAAAAAATTGCATTTATCGTAAAGACGAGAGGAAAAAACAATCACTTACACGTCGAAGAATACAATGTTCTGGAGACGCAAAAATAATGTAATATCCAAAAGGATAACCAACTACTCGCTCATTCTTGTATGGTGTCGCGTATTTATATACGACTTGCGGAGGAGATGCAATCCCTTCCCCATCGAAAAATACACGTAATGTTTTGCGTCACGTGGTCGTGTGGATACATATATTCTTCGCGTAATCTAATAAATTAAATTCCTTTCTAATGGGTTTACTCTTTCTCGCGATTCTTATTGTTGACTTTTTTTAAACGAACCAATATTAACGTTATTATGGCTCTTATAGTCATCTCGCCGACTAATTTACGTTCTTTTTTTGTAATGTACCACAGAGTACGTGTATCTCATGCACGATGTTTCTTCATGTTACGTCAATATATCATCACATCGCGTCTAGAGATATTTGTGAATTATTTCATTTATTCGATATCAGAGAGCTCTTCCTTTAAATTTCTATCTTGCTTATGATCAAAATTATTCAAAAAAATAAAAAATTTCTCGATTATTTTTCATATGTAAAAAATGACGCCTAAGATGTCCTTGATTAATTCTAAAAAAATAGAGATTCGATTCTACGCAGTATATGCAAAACAAAGCGTGCGTAGAATCGATTCGAGCTCACACGTGTTGCTCACGCGAGGACTGATAATGTATAATTGTTAACCTGATGAAAAAAAAAAAATTAAAATATATATAGTCCGAAACCATAGAGATGGACGGTGCATTTTTTTACCTGAAGCAAATAACGCCATAAAGATGTCATTAGTCCCTCGCGAGCGTTACTTCTCGAAAGCTCGGCTCCGAAAATACTATATCGCATCCACGATTGAAACGACCGGCCGACTAAACCTTGCCGCCTGCTCGCTAGTAGTTTATATATACCGGGATATGTGTTATAGCTGTCTTATGGCACCTGTTAAATTGACACTTCACAGCCGAATCACGTATCGTTGAATGCGCGTGCAGGCGCGCTTTCCAAAACGTCCGGGACAGCTTCTGGGAGGTGAGATCGCCAAAGAGGATGATGCTTCTTCACGTGCATCCTTCTGCTCACGGCCGTCGTAGGGCGTGAGACTTGTGATCTCAAGGAATCTCGTCTCAAGGATAAAAACGCCAATTATATTTTAATAATCGTATCATATATTTATATTAATATATTATATATATATATATATATGTTAAAATATAATATATATATAATATATATTATATATTAATATATTATATATATATATTAAAATATAATATAATATACACATTATATTTTATAAAATTTTATATAAAAATTTTATATATATATATATTAATTGTACGTACACTCTATAGTTCTCTCTGGTTCGAATTTTTTCACATTTTTCGTGCCTTTCATTAAGTTCGACTCCCATATATACAATACATATAAGTATCTGTAAGTAATTTTATCATATATTATCGTGAATTTTAATAATAGGTTTTTTTATGTCGATGCAAAATTGAATATATTTTAATAACAAGTTTTTTTGACATCGATGCAAAAATTTTAATAGAAAAAATCATATAAATCTTAATAAGGCTAGGAATACTAATAAAGGTTATAGTGCTCTAATATACTAGCGACTTTTCAATTATATATATTATAATCGAGAAGTATAATATATTATCGAGAAGAATTGAATTTTTCTTCAAAAATGTGATTTCATTAATGTTTTATAATTTAGATATAAGGTGGAAATAATTGTCTCATTTTAAAAGATATATACTTACGAAAAGAATGAATTTTTTCTCAAACTGCACTTACCAAGTATCGATAATAGAAGAATTGATAAATCTACGAGCGACCTCTGTTGTTGAAATGATGAAAACTTTTACTCATTTCCGGAGAGTAAATCAGTACCGTATTGCAAGATTTTTGCACAAGTATTTCTCAATTACAATGTAGCATAAATAAAATCTACCGTTAAATTTATTTAATTTATTAGACAGTTTTTCTTCAAAGTCAGAAATAGAACAAAACATTTAAAATAAATGTAAATCATTTATCATTAAAAACGTTATCTATTAAAAGTTCGTCGTAAAATGCGAGAAGATTCCAATCTGTACATGGAGAAAATTTTCTCTTAGAATTTACCAAAATTTATAAGAGTTTCATAATAAAAAATCTTGTACTTAGTAAAATTAATTGAATATATTTTATATCTTATTGTGAAATATTAATTTTTTTATTGTGATAAATATTAATCAGAAAAACTCTTATAAAATTTCTCTACAATTACAATAATTTTCATTTATTAAATTCTGAAAAAAATTCCGTGTAGCATCTCGATGCACAGCTGTTTATACTCGAGTAAGTACGGCCCTGACATTTGACGTATGTGAAATGCGCGCGCATTGCTTGGCGCGCCGCTCTTTTACGGGAAAAATTGAACGTAGATAGAGACAGATTCGTACAATAAAATAAAGCTCGCGTCGATTGTTGATTATTTTGGCGATTAAATTCGCACGCGACGTTACAAATTGCCCGTAGCGATCGTTTCTTTTTCTCGTCGACCTCCACTTGGCGGAAACAGAGCCGGGCGACCTACGTCATCGTCGTCCGCGCGCGTATGGTTCGGAGCGCAGCGTTGACATTTCGAAAGCGCGCTGCTTCGGAGCAAGCGAACGTCAGAGGAACGTCGGTGTTTCGCGAAGGAGGGACGACGCGGAGGTGGCGGAAGACTGGCTATTGCGCTCGATGAGGAATATCAGTCGGTCTTGGTGAGCCGTCAAGTGCGTGCGCGAGAATTTGCGATCGATTCTCGCCGTGTCTCGTACATTCGGGCTGGAACGCGAAACTAGCCTTCGCAAACGATGCAGGTGGTGACGGGAATAAGAGTGATCGATCATCACGCTGAGGGACGCAATCCCGGGTTTTAGGGTGTGGAGCAGCAAAATTAGGAGCAGGATCGACCCACGTGACGATTAAGTAAGATAAGTGTCGATATTCGAAAGATACGAGAGATTCTGCACCGGTGACAGGAGAGCGAGAGAGAGAGAGAGGGATACGATCGATGTTCACGTGACAGTCAACAACGCGGCGTGAAGTTGTCGCTAAAGGGTGCGCGGACAACGGCCATATTCAAGGCGAGCCCCGTGTGTCTCGCCCCGGGTCGAAGACGCAGACAGGGTCGGGGAAAAAACATCAGTCTCGCGGCCATCCACCGAGACGAGGCAACGCGACGACGTGATAAGGACTAGTTGACGAGGAAGAGCGGTGACAGCGAGTGGCTATTCTCACAGTCGCCGAGATGGAGTTCAAGTTCAACGTAAATAAACTCTTGCCCAGAAAGATCAACAAGGTCACGCATAACTTGCTGCCGGAAGACTTCAAAGGTGATCGTCGCGAGTTGAAGTGAGTACTTGCTTAAATATTTCTTAAAACTGCACCCTCGAGAATAATTAATGATATATGCTAGATGATACTTCATGGCCATTTTTAAATGCCTCAAACACTCGTGCGCGGCTTGAATAATGGCGAGTAACCTCTCTTTCCGGCTTTTCTGTCGGTATGAATATTTAAAATATTATGGTGTGTGTGTGTGTGTGTGTACACACACGTACATTATTTATATTTCAGTATTTTTGTGTCAGTGACATTTGATGACAGTTCAGAAATTTTTTGCAGAAATACTTTTTTCATATGAGTATTTAAAATATCATATATACACACATATATTATATATTTCAGTAATTTTATATTAATGACATATTTAATGACAGTTCAGACATTTTTTGCAAAAATAAAAAATTTAAATATCTTGAGGATATTATACTTATATGAGTATATTTAAAATATTATGTACACACATATATTATGTATTTTAATAATTTTGTGTTTATAACATTTAATGACAGTTCAGATATTTTTTTTGCAAAAATAAAAAATTTAAATATCTTGAGGATATTATATTTATATGAGTATATTTAAAATATGTACACACATATATTATATATTTCAATAATTTGGTGTTCATGACATGTAATGACAGCTCAGAAATTTTTTGCAAATATACAAAAACTGATTATTTAAATATATATATATAAATATCGCGAGGATATTTTATATGTAAGAGAACCATTAATATTGAAAGAATAAAATAATTATATGAAAGATAATCAGAGGAAGATATGTATATATTTTATTGAAGAAATTATTCTGAGAAAATTAATACAAGATTTTATTTAAAAAATTAAAAAGACGAATATAAAGATTTTTTCGTGTATTTTACTGTCCGTTAAATTTGATCATATTGCGTTGCTTCTTTTTATACTCGAGACTTGAAATTACACGAATCTTTTGTCCGAAAAAAGAGAAAAGAACGAATATACGTGAAGGTATTGTGTATCATCCATTATCGTCAAGGTTACGTCGGTGATCGTAATATAATGGACATGTACAACCGCGGAACTTTCACTACGCACATTAATGGGATAGCAATCTGGCTGTTCAGTGTCATTCTCGGATCTCTGCAAATTCCTGTAGAGTAATATTTTTGTTATTAACACAGTTTTGATTGTGATGAAAGGAGAAAGATAGTATAATAGCAGTAATAAAAAAATTTAATTTTGATCTTTTTATTACACTGCTATTATATCTTTCTTCTTTTATATTCACGATTCATTATGTTTGTTGCGATTGATTCGTGTAATAATTAAAAGTGTAGATCGTAATGGCATTATATTCTACAACGAAGAGAATTTTCTCTTGGAATTTACCCTGAAAATCATGATAATCGACAATATGAATGGAAGAATTTTATAAGAGTTTCTCTGATTAATATTTTCCACAATAAACAATATTAATTTGTACGTATAGTAAATTTTACTATGTACGTAGTAAAATGAATCGAACATATTTTATATCTTATTGTAAATATTAATATTTTTTATTGTGATAAATATTTAATCAGAGAAACTCTTATAAAATTCTTCCAATACCATATTGTCCCACGATTACCATGATTTTCAGGATAAATTCTAAGAGAAAAATTATCTCTGTGTATCTTTAATTTGAAATTTCTCATAACAAAACCTATGATCTGATGATATAAATTATTTTTAATAAATTGCATGAAATAATTACATGAAAATTATTTTATTTTTCATGTATATCCAGCGGGAAATATTATACAATAAGCACTTTTGTTTGTTATTAAGTGAACTATGAGCACAAAGAGTCACGTGAGAGCGCGATAATAAATATCAATTTTCTCACGCGTTTATTTATATTCAAGCAAACGGGTTTCGTAATATTTTGTATGCGCGATGCGTCAGCCACCGATTTACAGATGCGATATATGTCAAACGGCGCGGAATCTCGCGTGGCACGTCATACGTCAGATCCATCGTTGAATCGCAAAGTGTCTAGTAATTGCCGTCCAACTAAATAGATGTAAATCTCTCAATAAATTCCCCAAGTCGGTTTACTCTCTTGAAAACATTCGGCCGGTCTGATTTAATTGAAAGTGGAATATCAGAGTAAAAACATAGGAAAAAAAATAAATAAAAGAAATTTTAACTTAAAGCTCTAAAATCGAAATTAAATTTTGCAAAGATACAAATATAATATCTTCCAGTCTTCGCTTAATTTTACATGCAAATTTCGAGATAATTGAGACGTTGTAGAGAAATAACAAGCTTTATGCTAAGTATATGTAATATATGTATATGATAAATTTATTTTCACGTATATCGAGAATCACGATTTTGGGCGATTCTCAGACTATAGTGAGAGATCTGCGATGTTCAAGAACACGAGTCGATTATATGGACTCGTTAGTCGATGACGATATTCCTTCAATCATTGCCAAATGCGTACTCTGGAACAGAGCTGCGAATAATTTGTGCAATTATCATCGCATCTTAGGACATGCTTCTCGATTCCGTATTCGATTCAACTGCGTTTATCGCGGTATCTTAATGAAAAAATATTGCACGCGATAATTAGCAGAATATGATGCGATCTTTTATATGATGTATAATTACAAATTACGGTAACTTGTTTATCTACAATTAGTTCCGCACGATATTTTTGAATAAACACACGCTGACAAATATCATTAATATACGGTACAAAATTATGCTACTGCTGCTGCATGAATGATTAGCGAACAAATATATGCTAATGTATCTTCAAATCCGCTGTTGATGATGATCATGGGATGACGAATATGTATTTAGCTGATTGAAAGATAGCGCTTGAAAGCCGCGGGGAATATATATATATATAATTATATGTCACATACCGTTTATTTATTAAGATCTAGGTCGCGGATTACTTCACGCAAACGATTTCCACGATAAAGTCTAGATAAGATTCCGCACACACGTTTGCTCAACCCATTTATTACAAAATTATAGTACTCTTATATAATATGTGTAATCTATATAGCGTGGCTTGTAAATTACTTCTCCAGACATATTTTATATATATATATATATATATATATATATATGTATATATTATATTTCACCAAAATCGATACAGCCGGACATTTTAAAATTCCAGGTTCTCATTAAATGGTTAATTAATGTCATGTTTATTTAGTAAAGAGAGTTCAGATAGTAAATAGCTTCCGTTCAACGAGAGAACGGGATTATTTTTTTGCCGCGCGGGAGAACTTCGCGAGAAACGCCAAGTATAAATGAGCATTTTGGAATAATAAATCGCGAGACGGAGACGGAGATTTCTCGCGGATTCTCGGTTCAAAGCGTCCCGTTTATTCGCAATAGCCTCCGTCGAATTCTTGGGCAGTGATTCGCGACGTTCGCGGAAGTTTATGACGAAATGGCTAGAGAACGAAATGCCGTTTTCTCGTGCGACCGCGCCAAGTTGTATACCCGATTATTATGCGGAAAACGTTGTCTCCGGTTGCCTCTCCTTGATAGGAACAGTTTATGTTATTATGTATTTTGCGCTGTAAAATCGGTCGTTGCCCGGACGTTGCGAGTCGTCGTAATCGTCTTTTAATTGATACTTTTACACCGGAAATTGTCGTCAAAACCTCAGCTTTTCGCACTGACTTCCTAATTGCATATGTGACAAGCTAACAAGTAAATATGACATGCTAAAATTATATATATATATATATATATATATATATATATATATATTATATTTTATTATTATTTTATTATATATTTTATATTATTTCATTATTATATACATTATATAATATTATAATATTATATAATATATAAAAATAATGAAATAATAAAATATATATATATAAAAAGTTATATCGATTCAAACAGATTTTCAAACTGAAAGATTTATAATAATAAATCTGCTCTAATGAAGCAATTATTGTTTAGTTTTATTATTAATATTATTATTAATATAAATATTTAATATATATTAATATAAATTATGATTAATTATTGTTTTAAATAAATTACTAAATCATTCCTTTCGTAGCGATATTTTGTGTTAAACGCGTAATTGGACTCATCCATTATCTCGTTATAGATTAGAAAGTTCAATTACTTCTACATAGATTATACATTTTATCATTTTATTAGACAACGTAAATTACAGGCTTTATTATACATTGCAATTTATAGCCTCGTTATAAAGTATATATAAGTATCATCTACCTTCGAAAGTTCTCACGCAGCTTCTAATACTTTTTTCTCACGAAATTGCTCCCCTGTGAACGATATAAATCATTTTTACTTGAAATTTAGTGCACAATACGAAATTATCTCTTTCTCGATTCGATCAATAAATAATTTGAAATACAATTAGACAGAGTTATTGGAGCAAAGAGTGCGAGTTATATTTACGTACATTCCATCGATGCGAAAGAACGAACGATAAATCGAACTTCCTTGATCACCTTGATCCTTTTTATAGAACCGGGCCAATGACGGATATAACTATTACCGGAATAATGTTACTGAATCATATTAGAGGATGCAATTTTAACCAAGAGTAAAATTAAATAATAAAATGTAGATTACATAATATAAATGTAGTATAAATCCTTCAGATATTCTAGAATATTTTTCTCTAAACAAAAATCAAACTTTTTAATCGTATCAAATTTTCAAGTTTGCAACAAATTATTTTCTATATTATACGAAACATTCTATAATAATTAATAATTATATTAATAATAAAATTTTTTTAAATAATCCTATAATTAAAGAAGATTTATTATTACAGGACGTTCGATTTGTAAATCTTCTATCTTGAATTGATATGACAAATGTAATATTTTTTTTTCTTTTGTTATTGTATTTTATTCTAATATATATTATTACATTTGTTGTTTAAAAAACAGTTTAGTTGGAGTCGAAAAATTTTTACATATATGATAATTATATCTTATATAATTTGCATCATTTTAAAATTTAAATTTTGAATAAAAGCTTGTCAAACAATGACTTCTTCTGTCAAATTTCCATTGAAAAGAGAGCTGATTCTAGAATTGTTGTTACAGACTTCATTAAAATTAGACAGGCTTCTTGTGTAAGATACTTCCGCAAATTTCACATCCTTGGGATTAGTAGATTTCGCAATGCAGCTTTCTACACATAGAACGGTTGCTCACGTCATCGTCGAACATAATCCATCATACTTTACACCTATAATATAATGACCATAGGGGAAAAGACGTAACACCGATGGAATAAATTAAGCCGACTCGTATCGCAAAGCAAGCGATTGGCCCGTGTCCAAAACTTGAATTAGGTCGCTGCTTGTAACTGAATGATGTGTGTTGAAGAATAATTACGTCCATCTAATTTTCTAACGTGTAATTTCCGTAAAAGAACGGAAATGATCGAATGGCAAAATTACACGTTAAAAAAAATTAAGAAAGATTAAAGATTATACATCAAAAAATGTAGCTTTTTATATTATGTCATTATAGCCAAACTTTTTTTATTTATATAATTATATATAATTCATGTGTTATTATATATGTATATATACATATAATATATATATTTAAAATAATTGTCAGTTTATACATTATTAGTATTGTGTGATGCTTATAAATTATTCTAAATATCAATATTATATAAATATCAATATTAATTTATACAATTAGTGTTAATGTTTAGAAATTTATCTGACAATCAATACTCGTCAAAAATACTTTCTACATTTCGTACATTTATCATGCTACTTTCTACTTCCAGTATCAAAAACGTTTCGTTCTAGATACTTGAGGGAAGAACATCGGGATTAATTTATCGTCTGGAATTAATTAGCATAAATCTGTGAAAATGATGCGCGTATAAAGCATATAAAATGTAAAGACGAAAAGTGGAACGTGGCTGTTTCGCGCTATTTCAGCAATAAACCGCAATCTACGTAGTTGCGGCATTGAAAAACGGCGAAATGCTCGAGCGAGATTCTATTTTTTGTTTGTCTATTTCAAGAGATACTACTGCAGCATATCTATTTTATAAGACATAATTCGAGACTTACGATCGAATCGTGCTCCTTAATTATAAATAAAAATTTTACCATCGGGACTTTTCTTATATATTTTTTGCGATTGTAAATTTAGTATATATCTTTGAAAAATAATTTTTGATTATATTTTTTCAATTATTTATATTATAAGAATAGATAAGAATGTAATTATTAAATAAAATATTTTATATTATATTATCCACATGTGACTATAATTACAATTTTACATGTATATTTATAATTAAAAATAATCAAAAAATAATCAAGAAATGTTTTCTAAATCTAGGATGTAAAACCATATGTGAGCATTCTCGAGTATAATAAAATTTTCATTTATAATTAAAGAACACGCAAATTTTTCGAATAGTTTCTTCACATATACATATTATTTATTTTCTACTCGAAAATTTATTCGATAAATAAATACTTAATCGACTCTAACAAGATGAGATGTGTAATAAATATCTTTTTCCTCTTTTTTTCAGCGAATGTCAAAGACTATTAAGCAGAATATTGGACGATATGGGCGAGGCATCGGCGAAGGCTCAAGGACTCAACAAGCCCATCACCAGCGCCCTTAAACTCCGGGACACAGATCACACGATTTATCTGCTCGTGGATAATGAAGCAAACAAGTAAAGTTTTTATCATAAATCTAATTACTCAAGATATACTATCACATCTGTGGAATAATTAACGCGAGATCTCTCGAGTATACATGATTGATATTGTCTCTGACTCTTTTTCCCGATATATTTTTTTAAGAGTTTTAATTTTTGACACTTAAAATGATGAAAGCAAAAATAAGAGTCCTTTATCATCTCGCAACCATTAGGGAAATCGAGATACTCGAGAGATGCGCGTTGCGGATTTTAAAGTGTTACGGACCAGAAGTGGGTGTTTCCTAGCCAAGGGGTTAGAACCTCTTGCAGAACCGCCTGATGGATCGATGCTGAGCTGTATGCTGTCTTGACTTTACGAATATTCAGATTTCCTAAAACTGCAAACGATACTATATATCTCTCTCTCAATTCTCAATTTTCTATTTATACAGCTCGGCTAATCTGAAAGCTGTTTAATCAAGAAGCAATATAAGACTATTACAGTGTAATATCTGAAAATTATTAAACTAGCTTTCGGGAAAGCTTTCTACAATTTTGCATCAATTCCCTTTTAAATCAAATATAAGGAAATATCAATTTCTCATTGCAATTCTTCAAGTTGCAATATATGATTTATTATTTTAATTAAGCCTTGAATTAAAATATTATTGTAAAAAATATACATGATTAAATATTATAAAATATGAAATATTATAATTAAAAATATGTTAAAATTTTATAGCAAATGTTGAAACCTATTTGTAAATGATGGAACATTCCTTCGACGAAAATGGTACAAGATACGCGTCAAACCAAACGTGTAGATATTACGCATCATTCATTAAGGCCACGTAATACATTACGTCCTCGAAAGTTGTCGTGCGATCATGAATTATTCGTGTAAAAATCATGTATGTTTTGTTCCGCAGCGGACTGGGTAGCGTGGTGGGCTTATTAAAAACGGGCTCGAAGAATCTCTTTCTATTCGACGAGATGGGAGAACATTATCAACTGCAGGCGAGATGCATCTTGGATTTTTACGTGCACGAATCACGGCAACGTATGGGGCTGGGAAACATTCTCTATCAGCACATGTTATCCGTAAGTTCGAAGCTAATATTTCTCATCAAGTATAAAATTGTTAAAACATTTCAGAGAATTATTACACTTATAGTGTAAAAAAATATCACGAAAGAAAATGCCATATTTTATCTAATACTTTTTAATATAATTTTTGATCTAATATGTAAAAGAAGCTCTCTCATAATTAGTCATTTTATTATATAATGGCAATTTGATATTTCTAAGATAGCTGATCTCATCAAAGTCGATTTATAATTAATGACTTCTTTCGATAAAATTGTGCGTTAACGAGTTCGCGAGAAACAGGCCGTTCTCACGTGAAGAGAGAGTTTCCGCTATACACGATACGGACTCCCTCGCTCGAAAACAAATCTTGCGATGCACCAGTACAAGGCATAATTACTTCCTGTACGGGAGCAGAAGGCGTCGCGCGCGCAACCACGATTTAAATCGCTATCGTCAAACTTCGTGCGAAGCAAAAGTAATTTGTGATTACATTACGTTAGTGACGAAGAAACAGGACTAACAGGATAGTAATGACATTTGTTACAGACAATTCCTAATCATCTCACGCGCGCAATACACGTTTTTACGATCCACATTAGTCTTAATCATTTAATCATTCGAACAAGACAATTGCTCTGCAAATTTGGAGACTTTGTTTAAATTCGGTAAAATGGAAAATTGCGGGTGCTTCGTCTAAATGTTTCGCGAGAAAAATATGAGAATTGTTGAAAAGAGTGCGGAATATTCCTTGAGATAGAAACATATTTTATACAATGTATATCGATGATAACATATCGATACTTCGAGGTTTATCAATGTTATAGTTTACAACAAAATTAATTTTGCTATCTGAAATGCAATATGCAATATATATATATATATATATATATATATATATATGCATACATTAATTAATTAATTAATTAATTAGTTAATCTAAAAATATATAATACATATGTATATGACATAAAATATTCTTTAATGATTTTGCTATTTAAATATTTCTATTATTATGCGATCTCATGCATAATATTTTTATTAAAATATTTATATTATTATTTCTAAAAATATTTAAATTACTTGAGAAACATCTCCATATAAATTTTGATATGATACAACGGGATACATAAATTAGGGCAAATAACAACTTTCAATGGGATCCATGATAAGTCACAATTTGTTTCTTTCAAGTCTTCAAGTAACGCTTAAATAACAGAGAAAACCGGAAAATTCTGTAAACCGCTTTTCGTTCCGCTCGAGAACTCGAAACCCTGAAATCACGTGAGGACAAGTGCACAGAACTGTAACGAAAAGAAGAGCCATTCCCTTTTTCTTCTTTCATTTGATAAATCTTGTCTACAACACAAAATTTATTCGTGCATTATAAGCTTTGTTGTGAGAATACAATAGAATACAATAGAATTTCAGATTTAACTTTTTACAAATATATATATTATTTACTGCTTAATAAAATTTTTCATTTTATTCAAATAAATATTTGAGTTTAATAATTTCTATATCTTTTTATTGCATGGAGAATTTTGAAAAAAAATAACGCAAAACACGTATTAAATATAATTAATTTCTCATACGCAGAGGATAAAAAAATTAAGATGAGCTATAATATAGCGAAATGCCAAATTAAATAGTTAAAAAATTATTAATTTTATATTTTTTTATTTACACTTTGTCTTAAGTTGAAGTAATTAATTAATGTAACAAAAAAATATTTAGGAATAAAATAGTTGGAGAAAATGAAATCATACGCCCAATCGTGCACCGAGGTCAATGTGTCATCATGCTCAATCGTGCTCAAAGCACTTGCTAGATTTCCGTTATAAATGACACGCATCGGTTACGAACAAAATAAAATCTGAAACGCAACACTCGACTATAAAGTAATTCACAATCTCATTATTCGTAATTACATTGCTTCGTTATACATCACATTATATTTGAAATGAGTCATTCGAATCAATTATCATTAATGTGTACAACATGAGTCATCTATTAAATAATTTTTTCTTGAAAATTGTTAAATTTTTTTATAATTAAATTTTATTTGAACACAAGTAATTAAATAAATAAATTCTATTCACCAAGATCGTCAATGTTAAAAGTTAAAAACACTTATATATAACAAATATAGAAATTTCTAATCATACCTTAATTGAGTAAAAATCAAATCTAATATCCCAAGAATATTAATAAGATTTTCGACGATAATTGATATAAATCTTCCTCTATAATACAGAGACGGTAAGGCCAATTTTTTTCGAGAGTAAAGAAAATGATCTAAGATTAACTAATCACATAAATATGATATATTATTCTAACGTTGATGTTGATAACATCTGGAATTTCGCAAATTACGTTGTAGAAGATCGAACTTTCTTATCTCGCGTGGCCGTATTAATTTTATACCGAATGGGCTGTTTTGCGGTCTAGCCGCGACTTTCTTCAAACCAGACCGTCCGAGATATCGCGCGTAAAATGCTGAGCGATCTTAAAACAGACGCGTGACCAGAAGTCATTATACATAGAGGTAGGCGGGTGTTACGCTCGAAGGTAATCGGCAAGGTGATTGAACTCGACAATAGTCCGTTTGTTTCGATACGATTCCTACCGATTCTTTTTTTCTTGTATATCTGGCATTATTAGTTTTCTCCTCTAAGCTTGCTCCTTTCATGTAGAACGATTATTTATTATCGGAAACTCGGTTCCGCGATAAATCGCTCGACTTGGCTCTCGTCCGAACTCTCGTTAATAATGAAAGTTAATCACACTTACACAGCTATATTATTCAATATACACGTGGATTTATGCTCCGTCGAAACTTGTCAAAATCCTCTCTAGATTATTAAACTCTACCGAGTTTAAATTCTATTACACTAAATATAATATTAAATAAATCAGAAATTTTTTATGCACAAATCTACACTGAAAAAAAACATTTGGTTACTTGACCAAATCTTTCAACTAAATTGTTTAGTATTTAAATATACGTTTTGTTAGATTTAATATGTTACAGTTAATTTAAATATTTTTATATGTTTAATTAACAAAATATAATATTTAGTTGAAAGATTTAGTCAAGTTAATAAATTGTTTTTTAATGTAATAATCAAATTTCTTGATTTTTTCTTTTATAAAGAATTAAAATATATATTCTTTGAATTTTGTAGGATATTTGTTCAACCGATTTGAAATAATAAATATTTTTATTTCAAGTTTAGAATCCGTTAAATGGATATTTTTTTATTTATAGCTTTGGATGTTGTGTGTGTAAATGTTGATTTTGATATTATTAATTAATATCTTTATTATTTCTCTTTCATTTATTATATTCTTCTTCATATGCATTTATTTTACTCTTAATCAAACGATTTTATTCATAGGAGGAGAACATTAGGCCAGTAAAATTGGCTATTGATCGACCATCGGAAAAGTTTTTAGCTTTCCTACGCAAATACTATGGACTCTTGAAGATCATTCCACAGAATAATAAATTCGTCGTTTTTGAAGGATTCTTCGACGACGGTATGTAATTACCTCTCTACATATTGCCATTAAATTGTACGTGTATAACAGACCTTATTGTTAGCAAAATATATAAGACTGATATTTTATGACATTACACATGATTCTTATTTTTTATCGTTGTAAGTGTCTGTGATGAAAGAGTCTTGTATAAGAAAGATAACTAAACGATTTTGCAATAATTCTATGTTTGCGATTAACACTCGTACAATATGTTTGTATTCATTTATGAGTAGAATTCTCATAATTATTCCGCCTTCGTGGTTCCGAGTAATGAAGGGTGTACGAAAATATAGGGCGTGGGATGTAAACAGAGAATAAGGAAAGGGAGCAGACATAGAATTTCTCGTTAACCCTGTAATATTAGGGTGAGCTCAAAGAGGACCCTCTACCATTTTCGTTTTGTCGGCACAAATTACGACGGGAAATGAAATGGAAACATATTTTGTATCAAGGTGAAGTCATACCCAAATACGAATGAGACTCACCACGTGAAAGGCACAATACATTTCATTTCTCTCTTCTTGCAATAAAGCAGCGACAGCTACTTTCGGCCAGTATCATTTCGTGACGTGTGCGGCCAAAAATAAAATCCCACGTCCGTGAATCTGTCGACTATCTCGCGAAATATCTACGTTGATCGTTTCTTTTTTTCGCGTTTATACGTTATCAGAGAGATATATAGGATAAGCACGATTTTCATATATAAATAAATTATTATTTCAAGGTGAGACAAAAAATTCTGCGATAATGACCCAGTCGAAAGATAAAACTTATTATTACAAATTAAAGTATGAATAAATATATAAAATTATATATTAATAATATATTAAAATATGAATAAATATTATGATTATTTTTAAAATAAGTATAGAGGAATTTAAAAATAATTTTGTCGCGTCTAATATCTGTGCTTAGCTCATTTCCTTGAATTTGTATTTATAAATTAGCGAGGATCCAATTTATATTATTAAAAGAATATTTTCTCTCCTTTCTTTCTCAGAAATGAACGATTCAATTCCTTTTTCACTTCTATATGATGCAGCGAGACTTTCGCAACGTCTTTCTCGCCCGTTGTCAAGGTGTACAGACACAAGGTCAGATCTGGTACGAAAGGTCGAGCCGCCCTACGGAACGAGACAGACGTTCGCGTCCTAAATCGGTAATACGCGATCGGAGCGGCTCGAAATCGCGGCCAATGTCGCACTAAGGACGATTTATACCTCGACTATGTCCACGATCGATCAAGTCCCGTCCGTAGATGTCGAGCCATTGCTGCTTGATTCACATTTATGCTGATTATGCGCGATTCGCTCCAATTTTGCTGATAGCATTTCTCGAGAAATCGATGTCCTTGCTGTACTTCGTTTATCAAAAGATGAAATATTCAATGCGGAAAGGGAGATATGTGATCGCGATAATGGATGATGATATTACGATAGACGATAGCATATTTTGTGGTAATTATATTGTTAAATGTAATCGCAGATAGAGCTGCTTAAAACAGCTTAAAGAGTAACATGATATTTCTAAAGAGTCTATACAAAATTAACTGAGAGATAAACAATATTTTTTAATGTAATAAAAAAGAGAGAAAAAAATTAAAACACATATATACAAGTTAGAATCTTGAAGATTCTTTTTTGTAGCTTATATATATATCAAAGCATATCAAAAGAATACAAACAATATATTTCTATAAAATAAGATGTTTCTAAGTAATTTTTTTGAAATTTTCAAAAATACTCGAATTTCGTGAATTATTGCAAATTCGCAGCATAAAACAATTATAAAGAAATAAAGTTAATTTTTATCAATTTTATTGAAAGTATTTCTGAGTCAAATTTCGAATAAAATTGAAATTGAAATTCGAAAGTATATTTGTTGAATTTACGTTACTACGATTATAAATAATGTATTAGAGATGAAACATTTATTTTTATATCTCTTATCGAAATGTCCCTTTAAAAAAATTCACAAGCAATATTGGATTCTCATCTATCATCGTTTTCGTATTTGTAGAGTGCCGAGATGTGAGGAGCAACAGATACAGCCTACCTCCCAGAACGAGCTTGGACGACGGAACGCCGGGGAATAATAACAATAACGGGAAGAACGGTGCTAGGTAGGATTGCGAAGCGACAGATGCGAACCGTGACGTTGCAATTACCATGTAGAAAAAAAAATCAAATTTCGCTTTTCAGTCTCAACGGAGTCCCGTACGTTACGTCCGTTTCGCGTAGCTCGTTCGGTAGATATGCCGCGGCGCGACCGCCCTGTTCTATGGCAAACGTGAGTACGACAACATGAGGAAATATTGGAAATTCTTTTCTCGTTGTTGATGGCATGCTATACTTTTTTTGTCATTCCTCATTTCAACGCGTGCACTCCACACCGTAGTTCTATTTATATATATCTAATTTTTATTTAATATTATAAATTTATCTATAATATATATATAATATAAATTTATATAATGTTATGTAATTTCATATAAATTATGTTATATAAAATATTATTTATATGAAATTATATAATATAATATTCATATTTATATCGTAGTGCGAGAGACTTTTGCAAGTGTGTTGATATTTATTAAAATGATGATTGAATTTTGATCTTGACAAATTTCAAAAACATTTGTTTCTAAATATAAGATTATATATAGATATTATTTCGATTATATACATATTTAAAAATTGTTAAAATGTGGTATGGCTTGCATTTATTATTTTTGATCACTATGAAAAAATGAAATTGCACACAAAAAGTATTTTTTTGGCTGAACATATATTCATGGAAAAATCCTTCTTTGCTTGAATTTAATGCGTACAGCTCTAATTCGGTTTTTTTTTCTTTCTCTTTTTCTGTTCGTCGTAAGTCTTTATTTTCTTAACATCATAACACAACTGCTAGTGACTAATCATAATAAATATTGACGCTTTCTTCTAGATAATCCATAACACAGCGATGCTTGGTCAATCAACCGAGCGTACCGGGTGAGTAAAATTCACACAGTAGTCTGAGATGGTCCACAAAATCCGAACCTGCAAATTGCTTGCTTTAATTGTCTTTAATATTTAATATTTAATATATTGAAGATTCTACATAGAAAGTGATTATGTGTAATGAGTATTGCACAGAAATGTTATTGTATATAATATTCATTTAGTTGAGATTTCTCTCTCTATCTCGTCCTGTGACAAACAATTCTCTTATAGTTGTGCAATGAAAATTCAGTTTTTAAAAGATGCTGAGAGAATTTCTTCAGCGATAAAGAGATAGACAATTGTTTAATAGATGTAATTTAATTACTTAATAGATAAAACAAATTTAAAGAAAAGAAAACGAGACTGTGAGAGAAGAAAATGTATGTGTTACCTGCACTTATATTTATTTTCGCATTGCTTACGAGCAAACGTTAATGATCACCGCCAAAGCTTTAATTAATCTTGCTAAAAAAGTGCGTGCTCGACATATTTCCAACGCTTTTAGATGCTTGATTCGAATAATTCGTTGTGATAACGCATTGCGTTGATGATTGTCGATTCGTGCGTTTTATTATTTATTGCAATATCGGAAAATCCGTTTAATCGAGAATTTAATTGGACGTACAATACGATCTCCTGTTAATGCTCAGTCGCTGAGACAGCTTGCCGAAATATATAATACTATTCTTATACTGTGAATACATAAACGCCATCGCTTGCCAAGGTATGTCTAGGCGGGCGATAAATATTTCCGGGTCACCTCGATCACATTCAAGTTTCGAATTTTGCGTTCGGTGTTAATTTGAAATGAAACTATTGATCTCATCGCAAAATATATTTTATTTAAGAAACGTATAAATAATATATATATATATATATATATATATATATAAAATTAAACTCTTACTGCAATTGTTGATATTTCTAAATAAAGCAAATATTTTTGTAGAACATTTTGATATAATATCTTGCGATAATATTAATAAATGTTGTGTTCATTATTCTTTAATGCTAAAAATATGTGATATATATAAAAAAATGGAATCTAGGTGATCTATATATCTTTAATTTGCCACAATATGTTAATTCAGTTGGCAAAAATGTATGCGCGGATTTTAAAAATGTCCAAAATCTATACAAATCATATTACAATTAAATTGTTGATTCCTTGAAAGAATCATTTTTATTGTACATTTCTATCATATATACGTGAAAAGACTAAATTATTTGTGTACAGTTGATCAAATTTATACTTGCGTTGATTAGTAATGACAGATTACAGGAATATTCTATACGTAATGACACGAGATATGTGTATATAGTAATAGAATTATAATTTAAATATTAATAATATATTGACATGAAAAAATTATTATATCGTGAATATTTGTAATATGTGTAAATATGAATTAGTTGCACAAAAGGAGATAAAGAAGAGAATGAAAGATAAGTACAGAAAATTCGAGAAATTGTGCCGAGCTTTTTTTTGGCGTGCATAAAAGTTAAGATTTATTTTTTTATATTTCAGTTTAATTTATATAATTTATGAGAGAAAATGTATGTTATATTTATTTAATATTTTTCCATGTAAATTGTATTTTATAAGAATTTTCGTCTTCCTTCTGTAATAATTATAGCAATAATATATAAAAATTAATAAAGATTTATTCGCTGATTTTCTGCGCATATAGATTTTGTTCTAATTAAATACTTTTATTTCTTCTTCAATTAAAGGGATAATAAAAAGATAAAGAAGAATCTGAATATTTTTAACTTAAACTGTGCATAAATAAAATGATTTTTTAAAATTTTATTTGACATAACTCATTCATAATCTTATTTCAGCGTTTCAAAACAAAATCGTATAAACGTATAAATACATTGAAAATTGACATTGCTTGTATAAAAAAAATCAAACTGCCAGCTGTCTTTCCAATTTTGAAATTACTGAACAAATTACATTTACATTCACGCAAGAATACATTTTTTGGTACAGTGACATCAACATATAATGTAATTATGAATGAAATAAACTAAATATTTTTATAATTTGTAAATTTACTTTTAACAAAAGCAAAAAATTTTTTTAATTTTTCTATTCGTTTAATCATTTTTTTCCGAATATAGACAATAATTTGCTCCTATTTTACATTTCATATTTAGTTTTATTTTTATAATTTATTTATTTGCGTACAATTTTTTAATGTTTTCCATATTTGTCAGCTTGAGCAAAGCATGCTTACTTTTTCAGTGTGCATACAATTATATGAAATAAATGATTGTACTTACTATGTTATATGTATAAGAATAACTGTGTTATTTTAGAATATTGTTTTACTTACAGAATTTTGATAAACTATTGTCAATGTTAATAAATATTAATTTGTTTTTTTTTTAATTATATGTTATGCGTGTTAAAATAATATCCATTTTTTACTGAAACATACACTGAAAAAAAGTTATTAAATTAATATAAATATTTATTTCAATACTGCCTAATAAATTATTTATTTGAAACAAATAAATATTTTTACATTAAATTATTATTAATTTCAAATAAATAGTTTATATTAAACAGTATTGAAATAAATATTTATTCGAATTCAATAAATTTTTTTTTAGTGTACAAAACTTAAAAAAAATTAAAACAATCGTAGCTAAAACATTGATTCTCGAAATAGAAAAAAAGGAAAAATCTATAAGCTCGAATTTTGTCAATTTTTTCTCTTTTTCTCGATTTTTGAATTACATCCACGTTTTTCTCAGAGTTATCACATAAATGCAATAAACATGAAAAGTCTTCCAGAGATATTTATTTAAATCTGCGTGAAACAAAGAGACGTGTAATGTCTCTATACAGGTTGTTGCCAGTTTGCTCTTACTGGTGTCAACTATGGGTGTCCGCAGAGGGAGAACAAGAGGAGGCATTTGTCTCTCCCTCTTGACATCATTAAAAAAATTAAGCATTGGCTCTCCTCTTGAATAAACACTGAATTTATTTGTATATTTGAAAAAAAATTAAATTTTAAAAAATGAAGAAAAAAATACCAAATAAATTGAATTCTGTCCCCTCCTGGAAAAAATCCTGCGGACACCTATGTGTCAGCTGTGACGATCTGACATCTGACAGGCAAGTTGATTTTTCCAGCAGTAGCGATAGCGGTAGCGTATCGCCGCCTCCGCCTTTGAAGCTGGAACGACCGCGCTCTTTAAGCATCTACTCCGAGGAGGAGCAAAAGCAACGTAGCCTCGAGATGAACACCGTCCCGACGCCGATCGTGCCGGACAATCAAACCAAATCTTTCGTCCCTATCCTACTGGAGGCTTCCGAGAAAACGGAGAAGAATGTAAAGCCGTCGCCGTCGTGCGGCCAGGAGGTGACCACCGGCACCAATCAACACGGGCATCTGGATCTCAAGTTTTATCATTCACCCTTATGGTGAAGCGATCAAACTGATAATGCATAATTTCCTTTCTCTCTCATATTTAAAGAAAAGGACTCGTTTAAATCGGATCCGCTCGACCTAAGCATCATCTAATTCCGCTCGACCTTAGCATCATCTAATTAAATCGAGAGACTCTTTCCCTATAGATTAAGTAGGATTATAAAATCTAGTCAGGGGAAAAAATTTGTAATCTCTCGCTCGAGATTATATAAGACATTGCGATCCGTAAACACGTATTTATAAACTTCAAGTCTTTTTCTATTCTTTATACTGTATATGTTTCTGGAATCAGCGAAGTTTTTTAAATTATTTCTGAGATAAACTGCAACGATATAAAATAAAAGAATCTCTGATGTGAAAATAAACAGATATAAATTTTCAGATCAAAGAATGTTATTTAATTAAATTGAGGTAATAATTAAAAATCTTAAAAAGGGAAAAGGGAGAATAAAATTTAAAAAATTAAAATTAATAGAAAAAGAGACATCTAAAAATCTTTATAACTTTATGCTTGAGATTTCGAAGAATAAGAAATCATTTTTGTAAAATAAATGCCCACTCATCATTTTCAATATTCGTTTATTTATCAGATAAATATTCATCATATGTGGTGTGAATGTTATTTAATTAAATTGAGGTAATATAATGGATTATATGTATTCATTCAAAAAATGAATTAATAAATATATAAAAATAAAAAGTATAAAAAGTCCATGATAATGAATACTGATAAACTACTTTTTGGTTTGAAACATTGTCATAAATATAAAACAATGTTACGAAAAGTTTTAAATTATCTTGTTGTGGAGGGACCTTATGTAACAATATGTATTAAAATTTTAAGACTTTTATCACGAGGCAGAGAATTATCGTAAATTCTTTTTAAATGGATTTAGATTATAGAAAGTTAGAGAAAGAATGATATTAAATATATATCTGTATATTTGTCAAAGATTTATGTCGCAACTTTATTCTTCATATATAATGATCTATTTATATCAGATATTCACATTTATATATTTAATGATATAATTTTAATATGTGATAAAATGGTAAAGAATATTTCAATGTAAAGAAAATTAGAGAAAATGAGAAGCGGGTCGAAAAATTTTGTATTGTTGAAATCTTGTTATGCAGGATGTCTCAGAACTCGCAAAAAATGGACATGTTATTTTTTTAGTGAAACTTAGCATTCTGTTTTCTTTTCTATCTAACGCTGTACCTCAATGTGAGACATAATTAATGTCGATTATTTATTTATTTATTTATTTATATTTAACGGGGAAGAAAAAAACATGCAGTATTTCGCTTCGAATTTGAGGATTGATTGATATTCACTACAAAAAATATGTATATGCGCACACACATAATGCATACATACATACATATAAACACACACACATATGTAGAAACAATCGCTTGTGTATGCGTGTATACGTCTTCAGATTCGTATAAAACACCTTAGAAGAACGCATGATAAAATTAGATATTGTATCGATAGATATTAGAATTGGCACACACATATAAGTACATACTATGTATAAGTAAATATGTACTACATGCAAGTAGAAAGAAGAGAAATTAGGGCCACAGCGCACACAGGTACATTAGCAAAAATTCACATTATCTATCAATTGAAGACTGTTCACATGAAATTGTACCATAACACACATTATATCATGCGTAGTGTGTGTAAAGGCATTTACATTAATATTTCAGGATGTATAATCCAAATAAAGGAACATTCTACAGAGATTATAAGGACTACAGTTAAAGAAATGGAGCAATATCATCAACTAGTCATCAATATGATCCAATATGTCAATAAAATATTCGCTGGGCCATCATTGTTAGTATATTGTAACTTCCAAATTGTTACTCTTACATGAATGTATAATGTAATGTAATGTAATTATTGATATGCAAGGATACAATAAGCTTGGAAAACATTGGATACTTATATCTGTCGTTTCAATTACACAAGAATTTTATATAACCCATAGAGAGATCTATATACAACATGCTTATAAAAAAAGGAGACATTTAGAATAACAAATGCATGAAAAATGAGAGGTATATGTGTCTTGTTTTGGAGTAAGAGAAGAAAATAAATGGATAAGGATGAATACTCGTTTATCTTCTACAAAGCACCTTTTCTATATTATAAAAAATATTGAATGTAAAATATTTCTTCTAAACTAGTTTCTTTTCAACTCTATCAAACTTTTGTTCGTTTATATATTACATGTATCATAAATTATTTTGATAAAATTATGTTTAATTAGTCAAACATTCATCACACGAACTTAACTGATATAATATGATATAATATAATATAAAAATACTATCTAAAATATAGAAAATAACAATATTGTTAAACATCATATTCTGCACCAGATGTTTTCTCATCAGTAATCCACGAAACTAAACTGGTACAGGTCTCTCGTTCCAAATATATATATCCTATTAACATACCTTCGAAAATACCTAGAGCTATTCCTGCGAAAATATCGACTATATAATGTTCTCTCCTCAGAAGCTTAGACATGCATATAGAAAAGGACCAAGCTAACAATGGCAGCACACATATTAGAGGAACAGGCCATATGTTGAGAAAAAAATATGTAATAAATGCCACACGTGCCGCATTTCCAGATGGAAAAGAATCTTTATCGTGAGAAAGATTGCCATCAGTTGTAGGTCGTCTCCTTCTCGTTATTGCTTTCAATACAGCAATTAAAATAATATCTAGTAATAAACCTGAAACATGCATGCAATTTTTCATGTTAATATAATTCTTAAATGTTATTAATTTCATTTTAAACTTACCAATTGAAAGATTGACTTGCATCTGATAAAAATTTGAATTGGTGAAGGTCCAAATTGATACGAGAATAGTTGACAGCCACACTACACTATGACATGATATCTAAGAGAAAATGAAAAAAATAAGCAGATAAAAATACATATATATTATACAATTTTATTTTATTTTATTAATATAACATAATTAATTTTACCTTTAAAACTGTATGATGTGTTTTTAGTTGCCTTAAAACTGAAAATTGCTGTGCCCAATTAACCAAAGCATTTGTTAAATAAGCATCAACCGCTAACAGTGTCCTTAATGACGATGGGACTTCTCTTTTCTCCTCCTAAATACAAAATAAATCTTATATACATACATCCATGTAAAAAATAAGTAAAATGGATCAGTACACGTAATAGTCTATTTGAAAGAAAAAAAGTACATATAAATTTTAAAAAACATATATAAATAGAAATACATATATGTTGCAAAAATTAAATATAATATAATTAAATACAATAATGAATTGCAAGAGTGAAATGGCAGAAATAAAATAAATAATAGACACAAATATGATATAGGTTATACATAATCAATATCATATATCATTTGCATATTTTCTTAGATTATAAATAATTTTTTAACGTTATAAATAATCAATCATATACCATTTATATATCTTCTTCCAACTAGAATTGAATAAATAAAATAATTGGCGAGTAAAAGAGTCCAAAAATCTATCACTTTAGCAATTTCACATTTATGCACTTTGCAAAGAGAATAAAGAGTAACTCTTTATTCTAATAACTCTTTTCTCTCACTCTTTATTCAGTGGTTTTATAATTGTGTTCCAACGATGATCAACGTAATATCAAATCAAAAATGCTGTCTCTGTATGAGCTAGCATAATCTTAATCAATATGGATATATACACATCACACACAGACACACACATCACACACATACTATATATTCAAAAAGATATGTCAGCATCTTTACAGTTACTGTTTGGAAAATCACATGCGGAAAGTTTATACTTTTTTTAATAAAAAGAATTTGAATTAAATCTTATATCACTGCGATTGCAATAAATGTATAATTCTCCAATTTGCAGAAGAAATATAATGTAATAATACATACATCAAAAAAGAATAAAATTGCAAAATGTGAGATTAAGCAGACTTTTTAAAGGAATAAAGGCTCAAAGATAATATAAATTGTAATAGAGTCACGATTTTGGACGACCTTCACGAAACTCGTCGGACAGCGAACTACGACCACGATTGAATTCACTATACCAGCGATACACAGTGGTTTTTGATGGAGCTTTATCGCCAAAAGTCAAATTAAGTTGATTGACGCACTCTTGTTGTGATAATCCACGTCGAAAGTCGTAAAAAATCATCGCACGAAAATGTTCACGATTCAGTTCCATTTTTTGCCGAGACGAAACTTTCAACTAAATATAAAATAAACAAATAGCGTCCGTATGACAAAATGTTCTGAGTACGTATATCGTCAAAAATGTCAAACTTTACGATGGAACCGTCAGATAGACTCACATGACATCAGTGTTGCCAATTCCCGAAATATAAATAGTGACCCTCGGGTAAATGTATGTAATAAAATTAATTTATTATTAAAATTCTCAATTTGATGTATTATTGTAAGCTGCATAAAAATATTTTTATTTACAAGAGTTTCTCCATGAATACACTTCGCCGAACAGCGTTATTACAACCTTCTTTATATTTGTACCATATTCCATGTTTTGTTAAAATATTCTGCATCAGGGAATATCCTTTTTGCGATTTTGGAGAAATACGATTTCCCATTTTATTTTGCCTCTGAACATTTTCGTTTTCATTCGTAATAATATTTCCGAAGAAATCTTTGTATACCTAAAATTTTTACATATAAAATGAAAGAAAAAATATATTGTTTAATACACTGCATACTATAAAATATATAAATCTTTTAATTGTATAATATGTGTGTAAGAAAAAAGATGCTAAAGACTTACTACTTCCTTTAACGATGTCGCACTTTTTCCGGGTTTTGCGCTATTCGGTGGATTAGAAGATTTATCCTTATTATCTATATTAGAAGATTTATCCTTATTATCTTTATTATTTTCTATAACTTTGGGCTTTTCTGAATTTATCGTATTTTCTGACAAGCTGACTCCACCGAGTCCCATTAAGATACTTGCTCGCTTTAAACGTTCAACTTCCAGTTCTTGTGCAATTATTTGCTGTACCGCATACGCGAGATAGCGATGCGGATTGCAATTGGGAAGAACACCAACTTCCAAAATATTACTAAAAAGCATTTATGAATTTTAAATAGTATGCTAACATAAACATCTTTGTGTATTATTTAGTATTGTGTCATTATTGCAACATACGGATCTAAATTATAGATGTAGCCCCCTTGAAGATTCTTTTCTTGCACAAATGATAAACCAAAATCGAGCATCACATTTACTATTCTAGCAAGATCGGCTTTCTCCTTCGGCGAATATAAATGAGAAGGCACTGTCCGTAATTTAGGCGCTAGGAGATCCGGTAAAAATCCAGCAATGTCTGTGATTAAAGTGAAAGCATCGCGTCCACACACCCTTCGTATCGCTGTTAAAATACCTGTGTTTTTGCAGATTTCTGAGTTACCTAAAAGAAAAACGACGATGTAATTATATATATAAACGTTTAGAATACTTATTAAAGTATATCAATCAATTGTAACATCTCTATCAAAAAATATAAATATATATATAATTATATATATTATAACAGATGTTATAATTATTCTATTTATATATTATATAATTATTATGTAATAAATATTATATATATATATATATATATATATATATATATATATACACATATACATAATATATATAATTAAATATTATAGTATATATAATACTTATATATAATACTTATATATAATTTAAATAAGCTCCTACGATTTTTTCTCAAAGGTATAATATTAGTTTTTGAAAAGAATTTACTAAATAAAAAAAGAGAGATACAATTTCTGACCAACTTGAGTATATCTTTGAATTAAAATTTTCTCTTAAATAATACTTACTTCGTTATTGATAGTAGGAAAAGATAGTTTCACTTTTTGTGTTCGCGCAAGATTCAAATGCCATGCTATAAATCCGTAATTCGTGTACGGCATAAGTGACCAAATTTGCTTGCGTAGAACAAGTGATGTTACTAAATCGTAAAATTGAAACCATTCCAGAGACGTGGATATGTTACCAAGTTTTTTATCACAGATTTCGGGATAATTATGAAATATTCCTTGTGCCAGTTTTTCTGATTCACCTAAATAAATAAATATATATCTTTTATTTAGATCAATTATAAATAATTTTATTTATATCAATCATTAAATAACATTTACGTTTCTAATAGAATGTAGGAAAATTATAAATGTACATTGAAGTGTATAAAATTAATTTGATAAAATTACCATTTTGCACTGTTCTCATAATATTCTGAATTCTTTCAGGTACAGCAACCACCCCTCCTTTGTTGATAGGAATTGTTAATATACTTTTCCACGAATCAAATAAATTCTTACGAGAGTCCTTCAGGCCTAGTGATATATTATCTTTTAAATTAGCGCCACCCATATACTGTAATGCTCCTACACAAGCTCGAACATCACAACCGGATCTTTCTGCTATTTTTACAAGATCACCAAAGTCTACGTTTAACTTTTCCTTTCTCGCTATCTCCATTAAACGCTCTGCTAATCTTAAAGGACTTACTTCGGGCACCGGAATTATTATAGCAGCGGCTCTTAACGCTCTGTGTAAAATCAATTCAGTTAAAATATTTCATTCGTTCTCTTTTAATTCAAGCATATTGTTATTCTATTTTACTTCTAATTAAAAATTACCTTAAGGATGGTGCATACGGTTCATTACAGATGCACACCACAGGACGTGCACAACCATCAGATGTTTTCTCCGATTGTGCCTTGCCCTTTTTAGTTTTCGTTATTAATTTACCTTGGACGAATTTTAAGAGAAGTTCGATAGATGCAGCCGGTGCACCATCAATCTCATCAAAAATTAAACAATTTGGTCGGGGATCCGCGCCTATTACAGCTTTCATCTCCGTTGATGCAAGAAGGATCTGTCTGAACCAAGAATTTTATATAATTTTCGAATGTAAGTATAGTATCAAATGTGCAAGTTGCACAATTATGCATTACCTAAACGTATCTGGACTTCTTTCATCACTCGCATTGATTTCTACGATATTATAACCAGCATGTCTGGCTGCTATATGCGCTAGAGTAGTTTTTCCCAATCCAGGTGGTCCACTGAGTAAGACTATCCTTTTTATTGGATATCCTTTGCTATCCACTTCCTCGATATCTTTTTCGTCATCGATATCTTTTTTCTTTCCAAACACAGGTGTTTGTTTCTTCTTCGGTTTCGGAATATTTCGATTAAATACTATTTTATCCCAAAGCTTCAGCCAATATAAGAGCTGTCTGTTGACTGTTTCGTCCGAGAGTAATTCTAAATACGATCGAGGTCGATATTTATCTACCCATAATTCGTCGTTACTTATGTTATTAGTATCACTCAAATTGGATGCTGCTTGTACTGATAACTCATTTTTGCTCGTCATCTGTAATGCAATAAAATATCATTACTATAGTAAAAAAAAGTAATATAAAGGAATATTCCAAAATAGACATACAATTTGTTGCGCTTGAACTTTCAATTGATTATAAGGTATTGACAACAGATTAGTAATAGGTTTTTTGGACTGTTTAATATCGTTTCGTGCATTTCTAACTCTGATATATAGGCGCTGGGAATCGTACAACCTTGTGACCGCCACAAAATTCCAGGGTGGAACTCGTAAAGAAATAGAATTTTTCTTGCTGCATTAAACATAAACACAATATAGATTAAATCAGACATGATATTCTATATTATATAAATCATAATGCTAAGTATATTTCACTAATTTTCTTACTTCTCATCATATTTTGTTTTCATCACTGCATCCCCATCATGATCATGTATCAATTGTCGTGCATCCATATTTTTTTAATGACATCTTCAGGTTGATCCCAACGGAGCTTCTTTTCTTTTGGTCCATCGACAAGATCATCAACTAAAAAAATGCAGTTTTCTAGTAATATTCAATAAATAATCAAGCTTGTAGTTTTCCATCGATTATCATACCTGAAGCATCTGTCCCTAAAAGATCGGAAATGTCGCCAAACAACAATTCTTCATAATTACGCTTTTTACTAGTGCTAGGTGTACTATCGCTGTATAATTCTTCATAACTATGTTTTGTTTTTTATTACTGCTAGATACATTGTCGTCAATAACTTTATCAGAGTTAACAGAAACGGATATTTTAATGCCTGCTTGATCTTTGTTTCTGTCGTGCTGTCTTGCTGTTCCAGATACTCCACTAGGACCAGGTTGCGTCAATCTTTCTAGTTCTTCACACAGATATTACCAATATTATGTCATTTGAGTTTAATAAAATATTAAATAAAATATTCAATAATTAGCGAAAATAAGATATAGAGTGTAAAAAATATAGAAAAATATTAATTTCTCTTTGCATTTTAATTAAGAGAATTGCAATATAAATTATAAATAACTAACCCTCCAATTCTCTCAGAGCTTCATAATCCGCTTGACAGACAAAATCGAAATCATCGTCCGGATTTGGAAATTCATCAGCCATTTCAGGAATTTAATAGTTAGAATCAATCAAGACTTGAAAGTTAATTAAATGACTGACATTTTTATAAACAATATGTACACAAAACTTTATGTGACGTTTTTTCCCGCTTTTTGTCACATGCATATAACAGGCACGCGCGAAGAATATAAATCGCCCTCTCGACGTGACGATTCGAATCACAATGGAAAACTACTAATTTGTGCTGGCAAATAAAATTGCATTCATATACCAGAAACGCGAACACACTTTCTATTTTAGGCAATTTAAAAATAGATTTTTCTTAAAATATGTATATCAATTATTTTTATATATGTCATCATGATAGGATAGTAAAATAAATATTGCATAGAGTAAAATAATTTTATTATTGCACAATATTAAGCTCTCATTTTTTTTAACATTGCAAATATTACATATATACTTTTTATTAAGAGTTCTGTGCATATTGTATTTTAATAATTTTATTGGTCTCAATCTTTTACATAGTTAACAAAATAGAAATATTTTGTAATATAAGAGCACATGAGGTCTGGAAAGTCTCGTTGCAATTTCAATTCGACGTACACACTGCGTAAAGTAACAAGCTTATGTAAATTCTCGAATACTTGAGGTGTTCTAAATGCTATTTTTATATTTTTATATATAAAAAAAGCTCGTATAAATTTTTCAAATAAATATCAAGTTCATTTTTTATTTAATATTTCAATATAATTATTCCAAATTTATTATGTGCTAAAATCTTTGATATAATTTTTCAGTTACTTTCACAACATAAAAATAATCTATTTTCTTAAACAATAATATACTATATCTTCTTAAAAATAATATATATCTTCTTAAATAAGTTTTCTGAATTTTCAAGCACATGCATAATAAATTGGCTGCCGAATATATGCTAAACAAATAAAAACAGTAATAATAATGATTATCTACATAAACATAAGCTTAATTATCGGCATTTTATGATAAATATAGACGCTATTAATTACTCTGTAAAAAGGCTTGAGTAAAGGAAGAACTGCATGCATATATCGCTGCTTACTATTTGTGGGCTTTCTTAATATTATACTACAAAATAGTTACACGTCACAAAATGTCTGAGGTCAAGATGTAAATCAGAGTAAACATGAATCTTTAAAAATTAATGTCACACTGCCTTTGTTGCCAGATTGATGGAAGTAAATTAAAGATATAAATTTCTCTAAATAATGGAAGCACATACAATACCATGTTTCCTTTCCATGACACAAATTTTTTTAAATGGCATGCTTCTTGCTACTAAATATTGTGCGCGCAATAATTCCATCAACCGTATGGCAAAAGTAAAATATTTTTACAAAAATGTGCAAGACATTATATCAAATTGTTGCGATAAGAATCTTGTAGATGTTAACAGTATATATCGAATATGTATAGTTACTTAAATACTGTGCATACTTCATTATAAAGATATAGCTGACTGGTAATAAAGCTACATCCTGTGTAGTACTTTCTTACTCAACAATTGCTTTCCAAATGTTCAGATTCAATATAAAGCTTATATATCCGTTGGATTATAATCAAATATTGTAAAGCTATTTGAACATTCAAAATGCAACTTGTGTGTATGCTAATACAATCCATTTGCTTATCTTCTATGACGTCCCAGATAAGCTTTACAATTTGGGCAAGTATGATGAACATCCATGCATTCATCGATACAACAAGGAATCAAGCAGCAACCCAACCAACATCTAATATAAAAGAAAAAATAAATATTAAGTAATATATATAAAAATAAAAATATAAATAATATAAAAAATCATAATTAATTGTATATATTACTCAATATAAATTTAAATATATATTTTATAATTACCCCAACAATGCTATTATGATTCCTGAGATGTAAGCGATCATGCCAGGTTCAGTTTTTGTTGTTGTATCTATTTCAGCATGGCAATGTGGACAAATAGTATGAGTCGAATGCGGCCCAACCGGAACAATAGTCGTAACTATAGTTGGTCCATTCGCATCTACAAAATAATAACATAATTAAAAATAATATATGTATATAACATACATTATTAATATGAATATATATAATTATATTAATTAGTAATTGAATAAATTAATACAAAATACAGAGTATTTTTAAATTGTTAAAGCTAACTTAGTTTTGAAGCTTAGCTATCATGTGGCTGGCGTAAATGGACTGGCAGGTGGAACTCCTCCTACATTCTGAGAATACGCGGGCGTGTGCGTATGGAGGCGGTTCATAAGGCGGCGGTGGTCCATTTTTATGCATAGCGCTCATCTGTCAACAGAACGTCATATGCCAATTACTACGGTTTTTTGCACTTGTCAGTTTTATCAATTCATAATTAATAAAAATCTTTCCTCAATGGTCGATCGTTAATTAATGTACGAGTACATACGGACGCGCAGTACATTTTAATTCCGCCAAGTATGCGCGAACGTCATGCAACACCTATTTGCATTTTAATTTATCTGACGTAAAATATAAAAAAAATATATCAAAGTACAACAATCTACAGCCTTGCCTATATCTTGCGTGCCACGTAATTCTAAAAACAGAACAGTCATCGTAGAAATATTATATAGATAAATATATATGATAAGATGCGTGCAACCTCGGACGTTTTAGTTTGAAATAATTTCAACTCATCTCGCTCGCGAGCGAAGGGAGAAAGTTTTTCTCTCTCGGGAGGAAATAAAAAATAGTCTCTCGCGCTAGGAGAGACCGTATAAGACGAGATAAAAGCGGCGCCGAAGGCCACAGCTCCGAATATGTGCCAAGCCGATTACGAAACTCGATATGAGAATCGCGAACATCTCGAGAATAACATCCCCGCCCTATTTCGTTATGTTTTAGCTTCGTCCTCGGGAAGAACTTTGACACTTCGACAATTTATACCTACCCTCGTCAAACAATGGCGAATCGATTCTTGGATCAATTATCGCGATCCTTCGAGAGAGACGGTCGCGTTTTCCGGAGCGAAGTAAAACACTTTGGTACTCGTAACACCGAATAAACTCGAATCACCGCAGCTTTGCGTAAACAACCGTGGAAAACCGTGGAGCACAAGTTCACAGAGGTATACGCACACATGTACGGGATTGCACGAGATGTATCCAATTTTGCTGATTATTATTTTCACGGAACTGGAACCTTCCGCGAAAGTTCAGGCTGCTTTACATTTGGCGGCGAACAGCTGAGAAGAACCGCGTCTTTTTAAACGTCACTTTTATCTCGTGCTTTATTTTCCACTTTGTCCACGTATATATATGTACTCAATTTATTATAAATATTATATTTATTATAAATAAATAATTATTATATTATTATTATTATATTTATATTTATATATAAATATATATATATAAATTAAGAGTTTAACAAGGCTTCTGTAATATAAATATAAATTTATATATTTTTATATTTATATTTATATTATATTATATTTATTTTTATTTATATTAATATAATATTTATATTTATTTTATTTATATTTATATTTATATTTATTATTATGTTTATTATAAATAAATAAATTATTTATTAAATAATTTATTACGGGAGGATTTTGATTGATCAATCGAAACAAAGATTTCCCGGTCGACTCGTCCCAATCGATGCCTCCATCCTCCATCTATAAGTTTTTATACGTCTATGACCTAATCGATGTGCATCACGTGAACAATACGAAGATTCTCATGTGATGTGATCCTCCCAGTTTTCGACAGCAAATAATTCGTAGGATCTCTGAGTTTTTGCTGGTTTGCGAGTTTCCAAGAAGAATAATACTTAGATAAAAAAAGGGATAAAAATGGGTGCATCTGCTTTACCTGTATTAGCTTTCACAATACTCTGGGGCATCGTACTATTCCTAGGAGTAGCTTTGCCACTTTTCGTTCCCAAGGGACCAAATCGAGGGTAAATAGACTTGTGTTATTTATGTTCTTTCTACTCGCGCTTTTCACTTATAAATCGTAAAAGAATATTTATTTCCTGTAATATTTCTCTTATAAAGAATCGTCAGATCTTATAATCTGACAGTAACGACAGTACATCAGGATGTGATACCTATTTTAGTAAATTTTACAATATTCTTTGGACAAATCAGTATTTGCTAAAGTGTCATCTACATATTAATCAAATTTTAAGTATTAATATATGTTTTCACAGGATACTTCAGGTTCTATTAATATTGACAGGTTTTACATGTTGGTTGTTGTAAGTATATTTGTTTGATATTTCTTATGTGTCGTAGAACTGTGTCGTATACATATATTAATACGTAAATAAAATGTTTGATTTAGCTGGTTGTGTTGTTACATGGCACAAATGAATCCATTGATTGGGCCAAAATTAGATAATATAACAATATTAGTTATGGCTCGAGAATGGGTAAGTTATTTTATAATTAAATTTCTATATCTAAGTTATTTCGTTATTATCATAAAAAATTATGTAAACAGTGTAAAGAACAGTTAATAGTTTGCATTTATGAGTACTCATTAATTACAAGTTAAATACACCTGTTTTAGAAAATGTTTTATTGTTACAGGGTAATCCTATTCCAAATTGATTTAATTCTTAATCTGAAATGATGAAATTAATTGATTAATGAATTTATCATGGTAAAGAAACTTTGTTTCATATACATATATCCAATTCTCCGGCACATATTGCTTTTAATAAAGCTGTATAGTTACAAAGATAAAACAAAATGCTAGTACATTGATGATTTGTACAAATAGAATCTTATATTGATGTATGATTTATCATTTGATTATTATTATTGAAATTTTAATTTTTTTGTATAAAGTATACATTATTATTACTTAGAAATGCATATGAATTTTAATGATTATATTTATCTAGATTTATCCAACTATATATATATATATATATATGTGTATATCACAATACATATGTGTGTTAATATTTAAATATAACTTAAAATTATATATTTATCATTATATAAAATAAGTATTTCATGGCGCTGTATATAATTGTGAAAGAAAAAAATTAAAATATATTAGCAAACCACTTATAAATTTTTCTCATATTATCTATTTATTATTATATGTATACATATATTATCTATTTTATAGTATATTTTTCTTGTTCCCATTTTTCTCATATCAAATTAAATGGACAAGTTGCTCCATATTATTGTGTAACAAAAATAATCTGTTGATAAATTTCGGCATTCGTGATTCACAAAAATTTGATTAGTAGTATATTTTGTAAATATTAATTTTTTAATATTTTTTTCATCAAAAAACAATACATCTACCTTGAAAAATTATATTTCTATAAATGTCACAATCTTTTCTATGCATTATTCAATGTTCATACTACGAATAGAAATATTTTTGCATATCTACATAATTTTTTAAAATTAGATTTACGATCTTGAAGGACTCATTTACAAAATTAAATTTAAAAAAATTTTTTACGAATTTTTATTACTCCGAGAATTTGAAAAACATCCTATACATTAGGTTACAGGTTGTATTACATGCGCGCGATATAAATGACCTTGTACGGATGTGCACCGGCAGCCAATCAGGACGTCGGACAAGTTCGATTCGCGTTATTATCGTAGACTGTTTGTGCGTGGGACATTAATTCCGATATATACCGTGACATTGGTCTTTTCTCCGTGCAAATGTCAATCGCGACAGGCGACATAATAATAATGGAGGCGTGCAATGCTGTCGAACGTGAAGTGGACAAGGTTCTATCAAAGTTTGGTGCTATAAATGAACATGCTGAGGCGGTGTTACGCGACCTGATCAACCACATTCAATCCTTGAAGAAGGATTTAGAAGAAGGTAATTGCGAAACTGAGAGATTGCCGTATATGGCATTCTTCCTTTTTCTAGTCATTTGTCTCTTTCTCCTGAATTTTTGGAGAAAGTTTGATGACCAAAATTGTATCTTATAATCCTCGATAGACTAAACTGATTTTTCGATAGGATTGTTATTTATTAATGTGTGTATCGATAATTTGTTTTGAAGTTTACTAACCTCTTTACGAACAAAACTCTGATGGAGATTGCATACTTTATTTATCATGTATTTCCGATAGAATATCTCAAATAAACTATAATATACTATAATCTACATCATAAGATAACTTAATCAAACTCGAATATAAAATAATATATCTTTTTACTATTCTGTTATGTATAAAAATATTCTGTCAGTGAAAGAAAATTGCATATAATACTAATAATTAAGTTTAATGTATCGTTTTACATATATATTAATAACACTAAGAAGAAAACAATTTGTTTACATTGTATAGAAATTGTATATTTTATATAAAGAAAATGTTTATACATATATAATACCCAAACAACATTATGTCTAAAAACGGGACATAAGACGTCTTAAAGATATCTTATTGATGTCTTAAAGACATATTTTAATATGATGTCTAAAATAATCTTAATGACTCCTTTAAGACGCCTTATGTCCCGATTTTAGACGTTTTGTTGTCTGGGTACATAAATATAGTATGTTTTATATTAATATGCTAAATTTTTGTTATTTATATACATATAAATGTTATAAAATAAAATAGCTCCAATTTGATCATAAAATAACAATATAACTTTCTCTTTTTCATTAGCACCACCAAACCAAGAACTTACAGCTGGCCAAGTGCAAATGGTAAAACAAGCAATGACAAAAGTACGCGACATTGTACAAAAATTGGCAACAGATCATCGTGACTTGCATAGTACAGTATCAAAAGTGGGCAAAGCGATAGATAGAAATTTCATTGCCGATTTTGCAAGCACGAGCAGAGAAGATGTATTTTCTGGACCTGAGAAGTCTCATCTTCTAAATCAAGTAATCTGCCAACACTTTTACCGTCAAGGAATGTTAGACATTGCTGATGAATTAGCAGCAGTAAGTTTCTTCACCCAAATTTGTTATATGTTTAGTTCCGTTACTTCATTATTTTCCAAGTTTTGATGTTTACATATTATTGTTTAATTGAATAGAAGACTATAATTGATGATATTTACAGGAAGCAGGAATTAAAACTGACGAAGGCAGAAAGGAACCATTTACAGAATTAAATTATATATTAGATTGTTTAAAACAAAAAAATTTGGAGCCTGCATTAGATTGGGCTAAAAAACATAGAGAAGCACTTTTGGCACAGGTGTTTTTTGACTCGAATAAGATAAAATTTGTTGCTTAATATTTATTTTATTTTGCTCATATAATATATGATCAAGATCGTAAGTTTTACACACTTTGTTTTAGAATTCTTCTCTCGAGTTTAAACTGCATAGACTACATTTCATAAGATTAGTTCAACAAGGTCCTAGTAAGCAGAGAGAAGCGATACTTTACGCCCGTCAAAATCTTACGCAATTTGTCGGACGTTATGAGAAAGAAGTTCAATCCTTAATGGGAACATTACTTTATTTGCCACATGGAATCCAATCGTCTCCCTACAGTCACTTATTAGATCCAACCTTGTGGCTCGAAATACACGATGTTTTTACCAAGGAAGCATGCACATTATTAGGTTTAAGTGTCGACAGCCCGCTCTCTGTTTGGTAAATACATTTTATTTGCTTATAATTAAGAGAAAATTATAGAGCTAACATATTGAATTTGTCCAATTATTGCAGTATCAACGCAGGATGCACTGCATTACCTGCACTATTAAACATCAAACAGGTCATGCAGCAAAGACAAGTAACTGGAATTTGGAGTGGTAAAGATGAATTGCCTGTAAGTTAATATATAATGTTATACATATTGTATCCTACAATTTGCATAATCATAATGATAAATTCTCTGATCAATATGGAGTTTCTTTCTATTGTGTTCTAAAATTTAGTGTAATGATAATGGACTTTAATGGTTGCAAGTAATTTTTTTTATATCTTAATAGTCTTATCAAGAGAAGGAACTGATAATAATAAATCGTAGGATATTGTATATATATATATATATATATATATATATATATATATATATATATATATATATGTGTGTGTGTGTGTGTGTGTGTGTTATATTGCTAGCAAGAGGATTAAGGCAATAAAGCTGCAAAAGGTTTATTCAAGGAAAGATTATCTTAAAGAAATATTGATTCAAAATTTATTGTAGAATCCATTATTAAAATTAAAATTTTGCAAGTTGAGATATTCTGTATATATGTGAATTTAAATGTGTGTATTTGTAATATGCATTAAAATACTTAAAATATGATCTCTCTCTGTTTACAGATTGAAATAGACTTGGGAAAGCAAAGTCGTTATCATTCAGTCTTTGCCTGTCCCATTCTTAGGCAGCAAAGTACAGAGAATAATCCTCCAATGAAACTTGTTTGTGGTCATGTTATTTCTCGAGATGCGTTAAACAAACTCGCCAATACGAATAAGTAAGTCTTTCATATGCGGCAAGACTAGAGTATATCAGCATGTTTTAAGTGCTGATTTAAAGTCACTTTAAAAAGAAATCAATTTATTTCCAGGTTGAAATGCCCATACTGCCCGGCGGAGCAGAATCCCGAAGATGCGAGACTTATTTATTTTTAAGCTCTGTGATATACTACATATAGTAATATATTAATATATATATGTATGTGTATAGGAATTATATATATACACATGTAAGAAGCTAATTTTACAGTTTCTTTGTAATGGATTATATTGAATGCAGAATTTATAACAGAGTATATATGCAGTAATTAAAGGTATTATTTAAAATTCTACATATCTACATAATTCATTATCGAATTATTTTGCTCCAAATTTTATTTTTATTATTAAGATTAGTTTTGTTCTTTTTTCATAATATGGAAGTTTAAGATTGTTAACTGCATCACTTGCAATCTTTTCAAAGAAATTAGTTCTCAAATATTGAAAGAAATGAAAAAGGAACTGTGATAGTTTTAATATTTGTGAATTGTAATTGTAATTGTAATTGTAATTATGCAATTATATTTTGTTGGTAAACTATATATATATTATATACATGTATGTATTATTTTAAGTTTATATAAGTGACTTCAGCTTTGTATGCAAGTGATAACTTAAAAGCCATGTATATGCGTAAGATGCCTAAGAGTTTGTTATTAGATCTTCATAAACTTACTCATTATTTCAATTATATGTATACTGGCTTATTTGCTTAAATGAAGTTAAATGATGATCATTTTGTAAATATATTTTTACATTTATTTGACATATTTCCCATATCGTAATACTTGATGCTTTTGACTGACATTTGTATAAAAGAAGGATTATATATTATAACGATAAATAAAAATAAAAATATTGAAACCAAAATTCTCTTTCTATTTATATTGAAAAATTGCGATATTTCCGACCATAGTATGATATACTTATTCGGCGATTAAATCGATCAAACAAAACTAGGAGAACGCACATCAGTGATGGCGATAATTCGTTCGGAGAGTTGTATTTGAAGTTAGAATTTATTTCCTAAATTTAGAATACATCGAAGAGAACATTTTCAGTTCTTGATTTTTATGTAAAGAAATTTTACATAAAACAATAAAGCATATAATTTCACTTTAGAAATAACTCTTTTGAGCAACATGAAGAATTCTAAAGGTAAGTCGATATATACATTGTGTCAATTCAATTTCAATTTTCAATGTAGTAGAAAATAGCAAAATTTGAAGTGGAAATAATTATAAAACAAATTATATGAATTATCGAATTTTTATTATAAGCGAGATCTACAATTCTGCCGCCTCTACGATTGACAAATCATCAAATGTTTAACCGGAAAGACGAGCTTATTCGTGATGAAAAGATCGAAGATGATCCCCTGGAAACACTGCCATGCATAGTCAATAAATTATCTATCTGCGAAAGTACAAAGGCAAATATTACGAGTAAATTAATTCAAGAAGCTACAGCTCAGAAAGATATCACGGAGCACGATTTAAAAAAAATTATTTCTTTATACGACATCGACGAAATGTCTTCTGAAGAATTGTATGCTTCTCTACGTAGAATCGCAGAAAGTCCACAACAGCCGTTTTCATTCCTAGCAAATATCTCCAACGAATTTACTGACAGCAATCAGTCATCGATAGAGACAGGGAAATCTACGGAAATTGACGTAAGTGACGTGTGAGTTTATTTTTTTATAAATTATTATTTTCAATCGTCTCTTTCGTTTTTTATGCGTTTATTTCGGAGCTAATTAATTTTATATATAATTAATTTTCTTGAAATTATTTATTGATCTAGATACAATTAGCTGCTGTAGCGAAGCGTATTGAGTCGACTAAAATTTTATTAAACAAAGCTAAATCTTACATAGAAGATATACGTCTTTGTGCTGAACAAAATAATGTTTATCAATCGTCAGAAACAATAAATGACTGTAAGTAATAATATATATCATAAATATATATATATATATATAAAAAGTTTGAATTTATATAAAGTTTGTATTTATATAATTTTAATTATTATTTTTACAGATTATGATGATAAAATTAAAGTCGAGAAAGATGAACGATCCTCTTAAACTATTTTGATTTTCTAAATCTTTAAAGAATACAAAATCTTTTAATAAAATCTTCCAAATTTTTTATTCGTCATGTGTAACAAGAAAAAATTTAATATCATGTCATTATAAATAAGTGCTATTTACGAAGTAAATATAAAATTATTTTCAATATAAAATAAAAAAACTTTAAATTAAAATTATACATGATTTGTTATTTATATATTAAATTTCTCGTCAAATATATAAATTCATAAAAATTGAGTTAAATTGGGCTTAATTACTCCTCCACAATGGATCAAATTGTCTCAGCCGAATATCAGATGATGTCATCACAATTTATATATTCAGCTGGTAGAAGGGGAGAATATTCGACTTTCACATTTTCTCACATAAAAAAATATAAAATAAAATTATAAATATAAAGAATTAATTCGAAAATAGGGACAATCGAATGTGCGTTTAATCAAAAACATTATGTCGCTTCTTCTCGATGGAATCGAGAGCACAAAATTTCTGGCATCATATTGACTTCATTGTCGATTTTCCCGTATACTCGCCAATCGTTGCCGAAATTGATCGTGTCGACGATTTTGGATTGTCCCAAATCTTTAGATTGATCGTTACAAACGCGCTGCGAATCGCCCCGATCATTCTTGTCCACGGTCCATTGCGACGCGATCTCTTTAAAGGGCTGCAAGCAATTTGCATTCTGTTGTATGTTCTCCAATTCCTCGTCGCAAAGACGCTCGACTTCTAACAGTCGCTGTTTATACGCGTCAAAGAGGGCACGTTTGTACGAATTGTAACGTTGCTCGGCTTGCTCGAAGGAGTACGAGTTTTGATATTTGGCGAGATTTTTCTCGTATTCCAGTATCGCAAGATCTGCTCGGACACTCTGCTCCGACGTGAGGTCTACAATGTTGCCTACAAGTCCAAAATTAATATATATATATATATATATATATATATATATATATACATATACTAAAAACACATGTATAAATTCAATAAATAATAGTAATTATTACTTAAATCTCTGGAGAGTGGCGATTCCATAGCATAAGCTGCGGCTGCAGCTCGTGCAGCTGCGGTTGCTTCTTCAAATGCGAGAGCATCGCTTCGCTCGCGTAAATTCTGAAATTCCTCTTTTTCTTTTCTCCAGAGAGCCATCTCTTTGTTAAGTTTTTCCCGAAGACTCGTCATCTCTGACGAGAGCCTCTGGGCACGCTCGAGAAGAGCAGATCTATCAAATTGTAATTGTCTCTCTATGAATAGTAATTTTTTTAACTTAATTAGAAGAAGTATTAAGAAATTATAACAAAAATTCATTTTACAATTTGCAAATATTTCTTATATACATTTATATTATATAATTAAATACAAATAAGAAAAATATGTAGAGAGAGATTACTTCATTTTTTATTTTGGTTGTCAATACTATCAAATTTTTAGGCAAATATACATTTTTTTGAAATATTATAAAGTCTCTTTTTAAAATCAATCCAAGATTAATAATCACAAGAATTTAAAGAAATTTTAATCTTTTCTTTCATCATCGAATATTTTTTTAGAGCAAACCATCTTCATAATTTTGATTACAAAAGAGAATTTATATTAAATTTATCCAAAAAGCTAATATCAAAAACATATTTTTACTCCGAAATTTATCTCTATTAATAAGGTATTTTTAAACATTATTTTGAGAATATAATTTTATAAAAGTACAATACGGGAATTTCTTTTCACAGTCGATGGATAATTCTAGATTTGTCGGAAGTTGGTTCTCCATTGATTCTCTTCGCTCGACGTCGCTGGACGTTCGCTCGGATGCGTCGTCCTCATCAGACGATTCAATGCAAATTGCGGCTACGTTCTCAATCTGTGTATTTTCTTCGTTTCGAGTACATTTTTCCGAGTGACATTTGGAAATTTCACAGTTTTCCGAATCCACGTTCGTCGCGACGACAGGCGTTCTCTCCTTCGAGAAAACGCGTCCATCGTCATCCATTTCGTTTTGTTTTGTACGTCGTCCTAGATTTACGAATTCGAGAGAGTTCAATCTGATAAGGGATATTGTTAGCAATCGAAAAATTTTATGTTTATTGATCCAGAGAAACTGATCTCGAAGATCGGAGATAAATTACATGCGCTTCATCTGTTTTGTTTAAGAATAAAGTTTGCTTTTACGCAAACTTTATTTTTATGTGATCGCGGTGGCATCGATCGGATATATGACTGCAATAATGGTGTAATAAATAAAGAAATAAGACATTTTTCTTCTTCAATTTTATATTAAAAAGAATATCTGTAAAAATGTAATATAAAGTTTGTTTAAACTCAATTAATATTTTTTGACAGTAATCAGCTGATAACTGTCAGAAATATTAATTGAGTTTAAAGTATTATAACATATATTATTTATAATAAATTATTTTAAAAATTAACAAACTAGTTTTTTAATCAGCTGATTGATATAAAAAATACTAAAAGAAATGTTTAATTTAATTAAAAATACTACATATTTATTTTATTAAAAATATTTATTTATATTTAAATTTATTAATAAATAATAGTTATTTTTTTCTTTTCTCTAATTTTAAAGCTTCCTTTTTTTAGTCTTGATTTACAAATTATTTGTAAAATAAAAATAAAAAAATTAATAAATTTAAAAATAATGTATACACTTTTATTTACATAATGTATACATTTGTATTGTACATAATTGTTAAAGCCTTTTAATTTAATATTCCACGTACATATTGTATATATTCTGGTGTATATAATAGTGAATCCTACACAAATAAGTCAAAGGGTGAACTTGCAGATTTTGTCGAATTCTATATTCTATAAGTTTGCTCTTTGCACTTTTGTTTTAGGATGCGTTTTTTTCGAGATAAATGCGAGATATTATACATAAACGTCGATATTTCCGAAATAATAAGTCCTACGTAGTTGAGACATAGGACATTTCTAAAAAAATATTATTCACGGATAGATAGGTATTAAATATGTTATTATAATACTTTAAACTCAATTAAATATTTTTGACAGTTATCAGCTGATTTCTGTCAAAAAATATGAATCGAGGATAAAGCGCATTATAATTAACACTTTTTAAATATTTCTTAACAAAATTGGCCGATTAAAGCGTCACTAATTTAATTTTGAAATAATATATTCAAAATATTAGAATATATTGTAAATATATTATATTATGCCGCCTTTGACGCAAATAATATTTTTGAAGAGAAATTTCTTTTCAAGAAATATTAATCAAGTTTAAATAACTATATTATTTTAAACATATTAATTTTTTAAATATATTGTTTTAAAATTTAATTAGAAAATTAATGGTTTAATTAGCTGATCTTTGTCAAAAAAGGTTAATGTAGTTTAAATAAACTTTATATTATTTTTTTTAATATAAGTTTTTAATATAAAGTCAATAAATGGCTCACGCGTATCGCTTTTGTTGTTCTAGTAGTTGTAAAATTTTTACATAATCATAAATCAACTTTTTAATATATATTTCATCAAAATGAATTTTTTAATGCATAATGGAATTATAAATTATTTAAAATAAAAGTATATATATTAATACAAGAAAGATGCACCACGTGTTTGATGAAAAAAAAAGATATATATATAAGACGAATAAAAGATTAATAAATATGTGAAAAGCAAGGGGCAAAAAAATGCATCGTACTTATATTGCATGGCATTATATATTCATCAATGTAGTAACGTAAAAATAATTTTTACAATATGTAACAACAAAAAATTTGCACATTTAGTAATATTTGTAATCACTTCTACTCGATAGAACTTGAAATGGCTAATGATGTTGTGGATTAAAAATCCTCAAGTACCTGTGTAACGGATACTTCTCTTTTATAAAGAGAAAATCAGATTTCATGTCCCCCGAAAATTCAAGAATCCTCTTGTCGGAGCACACTGAGACTAGCTCCTTCGTTTTTCTTTGTAAAAACAATTTATTTTGAAAGAAAAATCGATCACGTCATATATTGATCCGATGGGCGAGTACTTAAGGATTAATCCCCGTATATTAATGAGACATTTTGTAATTGTAAATTGCAACGATGAATTAGTAACACTTTATGCTATTCACAGCATCGATCGTGAGCGCTTACTTTAAAAAAATTGACAAAGCAATACTGAGAGAAAGAGATCGACATAAGGTAAGCCTCGTTGAAGTTTCGCGGTGTATGTCATATACATATATATATATATACACAATAAAATGACCGCTCGAAGTTATTACAAACATTAGAAAAAAATTTATAACATGTTCACGACACTACGTCCGTTTGATTACTCTGCTAATTCGCCAACCGATATGCAGAGATATATTGCAATGTTTGATTATCCATCGTTAACTTAATTACAAAATGGCCTGAATTAATTATAATATTGATCTGACTAATTTGTAATTTTTATGTACAAAAAATCCTCGATGCGATGCGTGATCAGGCTGCGACGAAGTAACATCATAGCCTATCGGTGTCATCATCAAAGAAATATAGATTCAAATCGATCTCATTGTCCATACCAATACTACTAAAATTACTATCTTCGCATTAAGATCGATTAGAATCTACGCTCAAATGACATTTACATTATGTACAAGATACTCGCGGAGAGAGCTCCTCGAAAGTCATTGGTAGCGCAGAGAACGACCAAAGATAAGATAACAAAAGGATGAACAATCTCTTAACGCTGTTTGCACTTTGTTGACGCGCATAGCGCGCGCATTTTACACATCCCGACCGTCTATGAACGTTCAACGTCTGAGATTCAACTTGATATTTTTTTTTTGAGTAAGTATAAAGGGAGAAATAGACAATAAACTTTAGATCGACTTAAATTTTAAATTATATAAAAAAGAAACGTCCATCTAAAAACCCAAACGCTTTAAATGCGTTTGAGATCGCACTGTCTGACTGGGCCCTTTGGGCTTGTCCCCTTGCCAACTCTTACTCTTGCTACGAAAAAATCTGAACTCCCTCTCATGATTAGGATGCCTCATAGGTTTGTACTCCTGAGGTAAGCAGAATTCCTTCTGCTCGCCGTAAAACTTCTCGTAACCCCCTTGCAGAAGATAGATCTCCGGATAAAATAGCGCCGGATAACGTTCCCCGTTGAACTCGCGGTCTATTCTGCGCAAGAATCTCGAGAGATTCGGTCCGCGTTCCCAAGAGAATTCGCAGTGGAATATAAGTATGTCGCGTTTCTCAACGTCGGCCTGGATCTTGGGTACGGTCGACGTTATCGGTTCGAATAGAATCTGCGTGATGAGCCCCTGGTCGTAAAGATTCAACGCTCCCGCGATGTGGCCACCCTCGTACTCGTACGGGTATCGGCAATCGATGATCCTGTAGGACCTGATGCGATCGGCGAACTCGCCGCGCAAAAGCGCCGCTAACGTATCGGACGTGATGGATTTTAGATCCTGATGAGAGCCCATCGTGACCGGTAATATGCACGGTTTACTGAAATCGCCGATGAGATCGGTGTCGGTGACGCTGCGGTGGACCGCCCATTTGATATTCGTATTCGTCTCGGTCTCGGACAGGCTTCTCTGAAGACCCTGCTTCGTGGTACGTATCGAGGGACTCGCGAGTAAAGCCGATCTCGCTGGCGTCGTATGGAGACACAGACTGTTGGATCTGCGTGACCTCTTCAGGATCGACACCTCGTCCTCCGGCAATTCGTCTGGTGGTCGTTTGCAGGCCGACTTGGCGGAATGCGACGAGATCTCCGGGTAGAAACGTGTCGGAGAGTTCTCGTCGTAGCTGAACGTCCGCATCAGCCGCCTCGAGCAAGTCGTCGTCGGCGAGCGAAACAGACAGGTGCGAATCTTCGACAGCGAGGGCGATTTCGATAACGGCGACGATTTCGTATTGATCTCCAAGTGTTTGTGTATTCCCTTCGGTATCGACCATTCTTTGGTCAACGGTTTTCTGGCCGATCGATTGGTCGATCGGGAGGACCATTCGGGGGTAGTTGAGACGTCGCAGTCCATCGTCGTCTCGGGGACGACTATGTCGCCGGACAATAGCTTCGAAAGATCGCTTGGTAATTGCGTCTCGTCGTCCATCGTTTCCATATCGACGAGCTCGTTCACCAGGCCATCGTCCATGCTCTCGTATCCCGAGGATAGGCTACGTAGAAAATTCGGTTTCATCGACTTCAGATCGCGCAGCCGAGAAGTCCGGGGATTCTTCAGTACTGGTGATTGCAGAGGACTGTACAGCACGCGTCGCGGTGCCGCTGTGCTTCCGGCACCGAGGCTGTTGCTACTGTGGCCGCGGTTCTCCAAGGGACAGCGTACTATTTTCCTGCACGCCTAAAACAGAGAGATCAATATTAAGATTATTGAAATTTAATTCTTTTTAATGATAACATTGCAATTTCTTTTTATTAACAAGACTAGTCGTTTCTCGTTTCTAATAGTTTTTTTGAGTGCTGAATACAAATCCCATTTCCAAATTGCTCCAATATGTCAATTTTGAGAAATTTATTTTAATTAAAGTTACAGAAAAGAGCTTACCAAATAAATTTCAATTATGTTTTTTTAATCTTAAAGGTTTTAAAGTCACTGCGAATACAATTCCAATATCCAAATGGTCAAATTCAAAATAATGGACTCAATATGACGGATTTATATAAAAAAAGCATTTTTTAAATTTTGACATTCCCATATTGAGTACTATTTTGAATTTAACAATTTTGATATTAAATTCGTATTTAATGACCTAAAAAATTCTTAAAAGCTATTTAGTAAATCGTCAATGAGCTAATTGTAAGTCACAGCTCGTGACTTTCGTTTAAGTTCGTGAAAAAACCCTTTTTGCAACTTTAACTAAAAATTTCTCAAAATCGTGATGGAATAATGTGGAAACCAGATTCGTATTCAGCACCCAAAAAACTATAAGAAACAGTGTTATGAAAGAAGAAACATTCGTAGAGATATTTAAAAAAAAAAACAGAATTAATATCTCCACCTTCACTAAAAAATCGATATTTCCGGTGATTTTTATCGATTACTCCGAAGATCGAGAGAGAAGGAAACGCGAGTCGTTCATCGAGGAAAATCAGAAGAGAGGAAGGAAGAGAGAGAAAGAAAGATCGCGTAGTTCAGCAGGTAGTCAATCGGGTCACCAGCGGTCACAGGATGTGCAAGGTGTTGTATGCATTATGAGCAAATCAGAGACCAATAAGCGGAAGAATACGAGGGGAGATAATTTTTTTTGTAGCAAAACTATCTACCCGCAACCGCTATCTACGATCGGCTCATGTATATAAATTGTCAACGTTAAAAATCAATGTATCTCACTCTGTGATAAGAGACAGCTGCAGGTGCATTTTCGGCACGTGTGTCGGATTTATTGTTTAACTTATCGCGGAAAAGACTATCTTTATCTATCTCGAAATGTGCAGTTAATATTCGAAATTGAATTGAATATGTATAGAATGTGCGTGGAAATCTCTCTTCTTTCTTTCTCTTTCCAAAAACTGTCACAAATCTAGATGTCGTTATAGAATTTATCAATTGAGAAATCGTAATTTAAAATATAATTTAAATCAGCTTCCTGAGTAAATTTTATATATATAAATAATTTATATATTAAATAGATATATACAAAAACAAATTTTTTGTTCAATTAAAATTAAATTTAAATTTAAAAAATTGAATAAATTGAATATTTGTGTATGTGTGTTTTAGTAATTTAATGACTCATAACAAAAACATCTAATGATCGAAAGAGAAAGCTTTCCAACTTTAATGTCAATTTTTGACGATTGTTAGTCAATGACTCAGATAATATTTTAAGACTTTATTTTAAAGTCATTAAGTATTTTTATCATTATCTATCTATCACGATCAAAAATTGAAGTTAAAACTGGAGAAATTAGAGCTTTCTCTTTCAATCATTTATTTTACATTTAACTCGAGGAAGAAGATTGTACAAATTTCCACATAATATTTCACTGGAAACATACTTTAAAATAAATTCATTTTTATTTTTAACACACATAATAGTCATTTCATTAAATGCTTTGTTAAAACGACGTTTTCAATCTTTATAAAATTTTAAAAAAATTCACACAATATTCTTTAAAAATTTATCGCTTGCTAAAATATTAACACACACTCTCATAAAAAAAATCCTTCCTCAAAATCATATTACCTTCTGTGGAGTAGGGTTGTATAAGCTGCTGGTAGCATCGTGGTTCTCCTTATTTTCGTCACATCCGTATTCGTGTTTTCGTTGTCCATGTTGGTTTTTACAAAAGTCCGGTATGTCCGTGTTTATCATATCGGAGTGACATGTCGTTTTCGTTAATACGTCTATGAATCTGCAAGTAAACGAACAAAGTGACGTGTTACATCAAAAAGAAATCATAAGTGAGAGAAGAGTATTAACGATAAGTGAGCTGTTATTCGGTACATTTCGTGGACAAAAATCTCTTTTTTTAATAATAAAAATATTTTCAAGTCATAAATAAAAAAAAAACACTATTCCTGGATTAAAAATGTGCTTTACGAAATTCGGAGGTGAGTGCAAATATATTTTTTTTTCGAAAAACTTACAACTCCGATTAAAACTGTAATAGTTCTATGACACACGCGACGATGAGGTGGCGATATATTTTGTTCGACTGCCCATCATAAAAAAATGTGACCTTATATATCATTCTCCTTCTTACTCTCCACATCTAAAGCACGTGACATCAAAACGCGGGCCTCTACTGCGCATGTGGCTACACGTTCACGAAAATTCGCAAGCTTTCCGAACCAGGTAATCCCTCTTCAAACACGTAACTTCTGAATGAAAACGTGTCTTCATTGAACACATACCGATCGAACCGTCAGCAATCTCTAAGAATACTCTACAAATAGTCCACAATACCATTGTACATCCGTGAATTAAGCGCGATTGTCGGTGAACACTTGGATCCATCCTTTAGCACATTTAGCTCCATCTTAATTATTTTACATAAATGCTGCCAATCAAAATCGCGGATGGAATCATGTAAAGATCGCTAACTTATCACTAAGTACTCCTATGCTTATCGTTTATTTATCGATAACTATCGCAATATCCACTTGACACCAATTCCAATAACAGGCACTCTTATAGGACGCAAAGAAGACTCATGATTTGCGTATAAATCTAATTTCAGATGCACAAAATTAGATTTATATCCCTAACAGCACACATATCCCAAAGACCATCCTCTGAATATCTTTCCTCTGTTCAGAGAACATCCTCTGGATATCTTTCCTCTGAATATCTTTCGGATATATTGTGCTTATATGGATGCTAACTACGCAAATCCCAGGCCACCGGAACTCGATCGTGATGTGTACTATGTTTCACAGTAAACCGCGAGATAACACTACACTTATGCAAATTGTGTCGAGCAGTCCTTATATCTGCATACCTTTCGATAGCGCCCATGTTACATATATCGTCATTCCCGACGCTCCTAATCAACGCAGGATTAACTGTATGCAGGATGTTCATGACAAGATGAATCCGAATGGTTTATCGAACTATACTTTCTTCCCCAAATGTAGATATCAGCAAAAACCCCAAACTACTACATAATCCGAATGCGGGATCCGGACTGAAGCTCGCGCGCCAAAACCCCAGTTATATATAGCGGATACGTGGTGCGGTTGGTGGGGAAACAACCAATGACAGTGCCCCGTGAAAGGGCTCTGAATAGAAAAAACTCAAGGGCGGGAGAAGGGCGAGCGCGGTAACTTAGGGCAATCGAGATCGCTGGGGGGGCCGCGTGTATGAATTTCCACGCGCAAGTGCATATATGTGCACATATGTGCTTGTCATCCACGTGTGTACGTTGGGATCTGATCCTCGTTTGATCGCTCGCCCTCATTCCCCGGGTGGCTCTCGTACGAGCCTTATTTTCTCCTGCAAAAGGCTGCCGACATCGAGCTTATTTGGCATCGCGCACTCTAAAAAAATATGTAAAATTATATAAATAATAAGCATAATTTTACATATTTTTTATAGTGCACTTACTACTCAGAATTTTTAAGTGATTGAGCGATTTCAAAATCGAAAGAATCGTTCAGACGATATATCATGTAAAATTAAGCTTTAGACAATCTACTAATTAACGATCTATTATAATTCGCATGTTTTTGTAATTATATAAAACAGAAAATATTTGAAGAAAGAAAATATATAGCTTGCAAGATGCTTTTTTGAAAAATATTTATATTATTTCGTTATAATGTTGCGAAAAGTCAACAAAGACAACAAAAATATGTATTATAAAGCAACATTGATAATGATTTTGTTTACTTTTTTTAAAATATAGAATAGAAAAAATAAAATTTATATATTAAAAAAATTCTTGTTAAAACTGGAAAAATGTTTGTTGTATACGGAGACAAAACCAAAAAAGTATTATTGATTTAAAGATTCATAGATTTAAAAACATGTAAAAAAAATGCTGTTCGGTTCTGCATAAATCTAAATGATGTATATTAATGAATAAAACTTCGAAAGGTTTGCGAAAACCGACTAAAGATAAAAATATTTTAAAAGCAAAAGAATATCAAATTACTTTTGGGTCTCTATTCTTTCTGCTCTCGAAGGCAAGAAGTATACCGTAGACCTAACATATAACAAAATCCCTGGCCATAACCCGAAGTGTCCAAAAGTCTTTTCTTCCAAAAAATTTCCACAAATTTCGGAACTTATTTCTTCTAACACACCGCTTCAGGGATGTTTTTCGTTTCTGTTCCACATCGGATGTGGTCTGAACTCAGAAGAGGCAGGTAGGACCGTAGAAGAGAGATGGACTCGGTCCATTCTTTTTTCCTCCATTCTTCCGAATGACAATGCTCCACCTGATCGTCACAACCGCCACCCTCGCTTTCTTAGGGGATTTTTCACATGGCAGGTATATATATTGTGTACCGCTAGCTAGGATCGCAGATGCCTCGCGCGCGCGCATACGTTCACATCATCTTTCATCGTGCTTCCCTATGTGACTACACGGCGAGATCCAGATTTTCCTCGGGGTGGAAAAAGGTGCACATGCCACGGATTTTTCGCCGAAAACATCAAAAGGAAGAAGGGACGCGCTTTATATTCGAATTATACCACTTTGTCGCGGATTTAGCAACATTAGAGAATTCGCACACGACGAATCAAACAACTGAATATATTACATAGTATATACAGTAATAAATTCAATTGAAAAAATTTTTTAAATTTAAAATAATTAAATTAAGATTTTTTTCTATTTATCCTTGCTTTATCGAAACTGTTTATTGAAATGGGAAAAGATTGCCGGATTTAACAATATTTGAATTCAAACGTGACGAACCGGACAACTGATAATATATTACATGTATATGAAATAATAAATTAAATTAAAAAAAAAATTGTTTATTTAAAATAATTAAATTAAGATTTTTTTTTCAATTTATTCTTGCTTTAGCGAACCTGTTTATTGAAATGGGAAAAGGTTGCCGAGCCTAATAAGCGTGGAACGCTATTTCCTTATTGAATCAGCTCGTTGAGTGCTCATTGTCTACGAGATTCCATCTGGAAGTATTTACAATTACATAATGTAAGAGTATTGTGCTGCATAATCGGGTCATAAACCCATGTCGACCCGAGTCAAGTATTCATGAGTATTTATGAGTAGTACTGGCAAATGTACAATATATCCGATATTCGTAAGTAGCACTAGTAGATGTTACGGTTGACATAAATCAATTTTAGAAGAAAAAAATCTTTTTTCACCTTTTTTTTATTTACGTTTTTTTTATATATGTTCATGCATTAAATTAGATCGTAAGTTAAAGTATCTTTTTGTGGAACAGAAAAAGAAAAAAAACTTGTTTATCTATTTTCTAAAAAATCACAAAAAATTGACAATCTTCTTTATTCTATCTACCATTTGCCGCAAAATTAAAAATAAAATAATTATTTAGTGATATCTCTGCATTTTCGAAATTTTTGGGAGGGAGGGAAAGATTTCTTCCCGATTATTTTTCGTAAAAAATTTTCGTGCAACAGACATATACCTACATATATTTATTTTGAAAAGGATTTTCTTATATCAAATATATTTTTCACATCAAATCAATATTATTAGTTTCAAATAAATAATTTATTTGGCAGTATTAAATTAATACTTATACGAATTCAATAAATATTTTTTGTCAGTGTACAGATAATATAAATCGAGAAAAATGCGATATAAAAATTTGGTGAGATGCTTCTAAGACACAAATATTGATCGCGATTTTCGATTCGCCTCTCTTTTTCTCTTCCTCTCGTTTCTCGGACTCGATTATTAGCGCCAACGTACTTATTGACTTATATCCTTGGGACAGGATCAGCTGTCGTTTGACTTTATCGTACCTTTACAATGAATTCCTTTTGAGGTACCACACGAGGGGTGGTTTCTTCGCACGTACGTATTGTTCCACGATTGCGAAAGAAAGGGAAAGAAAACATTCGACTCCTACTCCGAGAAATGTCAAAGCAGGCGGCTCGAGTCACTAAAGGAAGGAAGCAAAATTGCACCCTCCCTCTCGGTCTCTCGCAGCCCCTTCAGAATGGACATACGTGAGATCCCGTGACGTCATACGCGTCGCGCAAGAGATTCGCCAAAAAGCAAGGAACGTGCGTGCGGCCACATATGGGGGTAGCTCAGCTGCTTTCTGCCGTGAAACCAGCGAATCAAGGGGAGGTCGCAGACCCCCATGAGGACAGCTGCCGGATCGTGCACCTTCGTTCCCCCTTTTCCCTCCCCCTCCTTCCCACCCCGTCCCACATGTGCTTCTCCCAGTCGTTACCCCGTCGCGGGGTAAACCCACCCTTCGCGCAATTTATTGCACGACGGCATATACGGGGTAACTGCTCGTCATTCCGATCGATTCTCCTCGCGTGTCGAGCGTTCAAGTCTCTACGTAGCAATCTCCTCTCATTAAGAGAGAGATTAATCACTTGGATCTTAATTCATACATTTATCGTTAAATGAAAATATTCGTTACTTTATTCGCTTATTTTCTAACAGTCTTAATTATTTAATTAAAATCGTTTCTATTTTGGACTTTTTAGGAAGACTATTTAGAAGAGAAATATTAATGAAAGACAATTCCTTCGTTTTCTCTTCCTCTTTTTTTTATTTTAAAAGGAACTCCTCTCCTTTTCCGTATTTTTAATGTCAAATGTGATTTTCTAATTTTTGCTCTTTCTCAATATAGAGATCAATATCTTAAAACAAGAGGGAAGAGAGGGAGAGAAAGCGAAAGAGTTGTATTTTATTTTTCCCCTCAAGAGTTTTGATAAAAAATCCGA